AAAACTCAGGGTAGCTAAAACAATCCTGTATAATAAAAGAACTTCTAGAAGTAACATTGTCCTGATTTCAAGCTGTACTACAGAGCTATAGTAATCAAAACATCATGGTATTGTCATAAAAACAGACAGGTAAATCAAAGGAATCGAATTAAAGACCCAGGAGTAATCCACACACCTATTGACACCTGATTTTCAACAAAGAAGCCAAAATTATACAATGGAACAAAGGAAGCATCTTCAGCAATGGTACTGGCATAACTGGATGCTTACATGTAGAAGAATACAAATAGACCATATCTATCAGCCTGTACAAAATTCAAGTCCAAGTGGATAAAAGACCTCAATATAAATCTAGTTACATTGAACCTGATAGAAGAGAAAGAGGGAAATAGCTTTGTATGTATTGGCACAGGAGACAACTTCCTGAATAGAACATCAGTAGCATAGACACTAAGACAGACATTTAATAAATGCAACCTCATGAAACTGAAAAGCTCTGCTAAGACAAAGGACACTGTCAATAGGACGAAACGGCAGCCTACAGAATGGGAAAAGATCTTCACCAAGCCCACATCTGACAGAGGGCGGGTTTCTAAAACATAAAGAACTCGAGAAACTAGACATAAAAACAAAATAAATAATCCAATTAAAAATGGGGTACAGATCTAAACAGAGAATTCTCAACAGAAGAATCTCAAATGGCAGAGAAACACTTAAAGAATTGCTCAGTATCCTTAGTCATCAGGAAAACGTAAATCAAAACGACTCTGAGATTCCATCTTATACCTATTAGAATGGCCAAGATCAAAAACACAAATGACAGCTTACACTGGAGAGGATGTGGAACAAGGGGAACATTCTTCTATTGCTGGTGGAGCAAACTTGTGCAGCCACCATAGAAATCAGTATGGCATTTTCTCAGAAAATTGGGAATTGATCTACCTCAAGACCCAGCTATACCACTCTTGGGCATGTACTCAAAGGATGCTCAATCATAAACACTTTATTTTTAAGAGTTGCCAGGTTATAGTATCTCTTCACAGCAATAGAACACTGACTAAGATAGTGTCCTAGGGCCACAAACCAAGGAACTCACACTAGAAGCTGCCAGTTGAATCCTGTACTTAAGACTGGGGATGTTGGAAAGCTGCCTGCTGCCCACAAGTAAAGGATGGCTTTACTAACCAGTGTAGCACTGACTACATAGAACCATTATGAAAACAGGAAGGTTCACTCAGTTCCCACAAAAGACTTGACCTAGTGGTGTGTATCTCTCCCAGGGTGACAGTCTGGTGGGCTCGAAGTGATCAGGGCCTGGGGCAGATGGGAGAACATCCCTCAGCAGTGCCTAGCTGTGATCAAGTGCATTTCCATGGCAATGAGCCACAACTGGTTCCAGGACATCTGGAAAAGACCATGGGAAAAGTGGCTGTGGTTGGGGTGTTCTGCCTTGGGCCCTGATAGTGCAGACACTTATCTACCCAACATTAACTACTGCCCCATCATCACAGCTGAACTTGCCAAATCTTGGGCAACCTGCTCTTTTGGCAACCTGTGCTTCCCTCCCGGGGATCACCTTGCTGTGGTTCCACAATGACATTCCTCAGCAGTGGGTCAAGCTACCTCTCCTATGGCATAGTTTTTCAAATGCCCACACCTCATCCCCTGCTCATGGATGGACTGGAAGCAGAAAGTACTGTTGCTACTGTGCCTGGGAATACAGAACTGCTGGGCTCAAGTCATGGGGATTGGGATGGGGGTGGGGATGGGAAAAGACTAAGTAAGAGGTTACTTTGAAATCTATTATGGCATGTTTGATCAGGGTGGGATTTATGCCTATGACATCGAAGTGTACAAGTTTAAACTTGGCCACCTTTCCCAACATGACAGTTAAAGACTGAAATAGTGAGGGACCTTTTTTTTTTTTTTTTTTTTCTGAGACAGGGTTTCTCTGTAGCTTTGGAGCCTGTCCTGGAACTCTCTCTGTAGATCAGGATAGCCTTGAATTCAGAGATCAGCCTGCCTCTGCCTTGCTGGGATTAAATGCATGTGCCACCACTGCCAATCCATTTTTTTTAAATTAAACTTATCTATTTAGTGTGTATGTGTATGACATGGCACAGGTGGAGTCAGAGAACAACTTGCTGGAGTCGGTTCTCTCTTTCCACTACATGGGTCCCAAGGATCAAACTCAGGTCATCAAGCTTAGCAACATGTGCCTTAACATACTATGTCATCTCACTAGCCTAGAAGAGGAGATTTAAAACATAGTCATGCTGGGAGAATGAGTAGAGGGATCTGATGGTCCCCAAAGCATCTTTTACATGCTGGCATGAGCTTTAAACTTAAATGAAAATGAAGAGATAATATTATCTTGCTGCTTGTTTACTCAATTCTGGTTCTACAAGATGGTCCAAGAAGATCCTATTGCTTGAGGAGATGGCAAGCCACCAGCCAGGAGTTAAGAGAATATCAGATCCCCTGAAACTCGGGTTATAGGCAATTGGAGTAGCCTAGTGTGGGTGCTGTAAAGTAAACCTGGGTCCTCTCAGTAAGAACAAGTGCTCTTAACTATCAAACCATCTCTCTAGCCCCATGATACAAGATTTTCTTTGTTCTGTTCTATAAAAACTTTATGAAATTGCTATCATGTGGGAATACAGTATTTGGGGCGATTTGAATCTGTTCCTAAGTCATGGTCACTTGTTTGGTTCCATGTTTGAGGTCAGATCTATGTTGTGTTGCTTTGTGTGAGTTGCTGGGGACTGAACTTATGGCTTCTTACATACATTGGTGGGTAAGCAGCACTCTACCCACTGAACTGTCTTTCCAGAACCTAAACATGGTGCTTTAAGACGTCAGGTACCAGAATGTGCTCACTATGTCCAACCACTTAGTGTTACCTTCTCAGGTAGATGTTGGCAAATGTTTTTGGGACTTGGACTTGCTTGGTTTGGGTCATGATTCACTGGTTTATTATGCGTTGGTGAGCAGTCAGCAGTATGGTGTCCACTGTTTGTTTTCAGTTCATGTGGTTTCAGAACAATGGGTTTGTTTTTAGGATGTTTGGTTGTTAATTCACTAGCATTCTGCCTTTGATCCTTTTGCCACTCCTCTAGTGTCTAATTTACAGAAGAATATTTGAAAAGTTGTCATTTAGTACCTCAGATAGTTTTGTTTGGTAACTGTGTAAACTAAAGTTATAAATATTTAAAAATTGGATAAATATAACTTAAGGTAATTTGATTTTATGTTTCCCAAAATAGGAAATATTTGGTATCTCATACACACACTAAATTGGAAGAGCTGGACTACAACAATTAAAGATCACAGCTTTAATGGACAGCTTACTTTAATTGAAATTTTATTTTTGGTTTTTCAAGACAGGGTTTCTCTATGTAGCCCTGGCTGTCCTGAAACTCACCAGGCTGGCCTCATATTCACAGAGATCCACCTGCCTTTGCCTCTTGAGAGCTGGAATTAAAATGTGTCCCAGGCCTAATTGAAAATTTAAAACATCTAAAGAAAACACTGAAATTTTAATTTACAATTAATAATTTACAATTAATTTACAATTTAAAAACTGTATCTAAGATACAGGAATGTTAAAAATGAGTAAGAAATTAATAAAAGTTTTAAGATTGCATAAGAACTAAAATAAATTCTTAAAAAAAATTTCAAGCATTCTTGGGTTATGTTTTCTGCTCTGACTTCTCCTCTTCCTTCTTTACCTTCAAACACAATAAAATTTTCTATCAAAGAAAATAATTACTACAGTCTATTTTAGGATAAAACCTAAAGAGAAAAGAGATGCCATTCTAAAAAATTCCCTGTTGATTAACTCTTAAACAAGAAAGGAAAATAATCTAATCCTACCTAACAGCTTTATCTTGGAACTTTCTCCTCTCACTAAGACTTTCCTACATCTCAAAGACATAGAGTTTTAATTCTACTATACGGGTCCTTCTTGCTGGGTGTAATCTATTCTAATTGTGTCATGTCTATTCTTGGCAATTGTTTTCATGTAATTATCTTTGTCATTTTGCATTCTAAGAAAGAACTAAGTATTAAAAAGTCTGTGGCCATTTCATTTGTACATTAAAAAAACTTTACTGTGTGCTTCTTTCAGTATGCCTATTTTTTAAAGATTTATTTTATGTATACAAGTGTTGTGTCTGCATGTACATATGTTCACCACATGTATGCCTGCTACCCAGGGCATTGGATCCCCTGGAACTGGAGTTATGAATGGTTATGAGTCACCTTTGGGTGCTGGGAATTGAACCCAGGTCCTCTGCAAGTGCAACAAGTGCTCTTGATTGCTGAGATATCACTCCAGCCTTATTGCCAGGCCTAATTTAAAACTTGTAAGTAAACATGAATGTCTGAGAGATATCTTAAAAGACTTGATAAATACACACTGCTTTATAATAAATGTAGGTACTTTTAACTCCCTGAAACTTATTAAAGTGGTATTTTTTTAACCTATCAAATGTTTTATGAAACTTTAAAATGTTACCTGTGTATATAAAATGAACAGCATTGGCATCACAATGAAAGTTCCATTAAGCCATTAAATCTTACACTGGATACATAGATTTTAATAAAGATTTCTCCCAAAACCTGATGGGAGTATCCTTCTGTATGCTGTGAATATGTTTCTCTTATTGGCTGATGATTAAAGCTGTTTCAGACAATGGACAGGTAGGATTTAGCCAGGCAGGAAATCTGAACAGGTATAGAGAAAGGTAGTAGGTGGAGTCAGAGAGACGCCATGTAGCTGCCGAGAAAGGAAGAGGATCTGGCATCACTGGTAAGCCAAGACCATGTGGAGATACACAGATTAATAGAAATGGGTTAATATTTAAGAGAGAGCTAGCCAGTAAAAAGCCTGAGCCATTAGCCCAACAGTTTATAGTTAATATAAGTCTCTGTGTGTTTATTTGGGACTAGACAGCTGTGGGACCCAGAGGGACAGAAACTTCCATCTACAAAAAACATTTCTGGAAAAGATTAAAATTTTATTTCATTTTTTTAGAAGTCAAGGATAACAAAAATAAAACAGCATCAACATGCTTTATGTTGACTCAGTTCTCTGGATGCTGTGGTTAGAATTCTTCAGTTGGAATGATTCCTTTTATAAGAGTGCTCTTAGTGTACAAGTATTGGATGCAAGATTTCTGGTAAGGCTGAGATACATCTAGAATCATGGATATGTTTGCCAAAGATCTTTAAGTTGAATTTCCTTTCTATAATGAAAATTACAGGAGTTACAATACCATCAAGTAATAACATTAGACTGGGTATACTTACTCTGTATGTAATAAAAAGGACATATGATTAAATCTTACCAGAAAAGGAAAGTCTCCCTTATTTTGGTTACAACTAAGTGCATTGCTAAAACCTTATTTCTCTGGAGATCCTGGGCAAAGACAATATACTGTATCTGACAGGGTATTAATGCTGATTACAGAAGGGCAGTAGATGTTTGGAGACAGGATACAGCCTGTAGAGGTCATTCTAAGGAAGTGGCACCAGTGTCCATAAGACCCAGGTCTCCACAGCCTGAAGAACACTTTGAAGACAAGGCCACCTACACCTATAAGCTACTAAAAGGCTTAAGGACTTAAAGGACCTCTTCAGACAACAAACAGGATGTCTTAACTTCTTAAAGGCAAAGATAAACTCTATTATAAATCTATCTGTAATTATAATCTTATGTTTTGTTTTTTTTCATTCTTTTTCTTTTGGCACTATTGGTACTCAGTGGTTACAAACCCCATCCAACCCCATCTTCCCTCCTTTAATCTATCCCATTACTGGATTTTTCCTGAAAATTGTTCTTTTGCATTTTGTCATGATCTCAATGTATAACTATCAGTTGGGAGTGTGTGTGTGTACACACACACACACACACACACACACACACACACACATGTCTTTTTTTTTTCTTTCTTTAAGTAAAGGACCATATCCGGAACAATTTACACAAACATAGCTTTGGTTTTCCTGACTTTGGTCCTTTTTGGGCATAATCACATTATTCTTGCATTGACAGCTTTTCTTTAGATTTATTTATTTTAGTTATTTTACTTGCAGATATGTATGTGTACCACTTGTGTGTCTGGTGCCTGCAGATGTCAGAAGAGGTTGTTAGATACTTAGGAACTGCAGTTATGGATAGTTGTGAGATACCATGTAGGTACTGAGAACCAGACCCAGGTTTCCTGCAAGAGCAATTAGTGCTCTTAACTGCTAAACCATCTCTCTAGGCCAAATTCTTGCATTTTTTTGATCCTGGTAAAATCTGTGTTTTCAGGATATGACAGTTTCAAACTTAACTCATTATGATATAGGGATTCAAGTCAACTCCCACAACAAAAACTCCAAAGCCTCCCTCCAACCAACAGGAAGAGAGCTTTGTGGTCTCTCTTTGGCAAGGACTACACTCCTCATCATCATGGAAATTATACAAAATAGATTATTATCCTTTAGCCCCTCAGAAAGATTTTTGAGACCAAAGCTTCGAGGATAGAGTAAAGTGAGGTAGGCAAATGGGAAGTTCTAGAGGCAAACAAACAAACAAACAAAACACCACAATCCCAAAGGAAGACTAGAAACCCCTCCAACTGCAGTTTATGCATAACAAAACAGCATGCTTTAAAAAAAAAGCCCTACCTTCTCTAATTGCCAGAAAAGATGGGAGCTATGTTAAATGTGCTATAAAGGGTAGAAACTCTTGGCCAAGGGCCTTTCAGCCTTAGACCTTTGCCAGTCCTCGGGCCCACTCCTCTCCTAGTAAAAGATCTCTATTTCCATTACTACCCATGTGTCTCTGGTCCAATTTTTGTTCCAGGACACAGGAACCTGGGCATCTCAGGACTCTGACCTACAATCAAAGTACAACTGAAGTTCTCTTAAGATTTATGTTTTGGCATGTCTTGTTTTTAATAACAGGTATGCTTGTTTAATGGCATTCTGGGAAACATTTTTGGTTTTAAAAATGTACTAAACATGTTTTTTTGTTGTTGTTGTTTGAGACAAAGTTTTACTATGTATCTCTGCCTGGCCTGGAACTATATAGACCAGGTTGGCCTTAAATTCACAGAGATCTGCCTGTCTCTGCCTTTCAAATGCTGAGATTAAAGGCATGCATCGCCCTGCCAGGCTAAGGCTAGTTAATGAATATTAGAAAAATGGGAAAGTTGTTTGTTTGTTTTTTATCAATTTTGCATGAGAAAAAACCTTTACTTTTCTTTTGAAGCCATAGCTCAGGATGCAATCAATAGATATATGATCTTTCATTTACTGTTTTCGACAATCAATTCAATTTCTTATACACTCATGTCCAAATTAGAACTATATGTGTCACAGTGAGATTTTATGGCTATTACTTAGTTTTCTAAGTTCTAGATGTGGTAAAAGTTATAAGTCAGTACTGTTTCAACACTTGTATTTCTTCTCAAAAAAAATGAAGGAGCAAATATTTTAATAAGCTTTATGCAAAATAGTCCTGACCATTTTACTTGTAGTTAACCTGATATATGTGCCTAGATATAGCCATGACTTCTCTGAGAACTGGTAAGTACTGCATAATGCAAGAAGTAAAAAATGCACAACTTTCCCCAATAACTTCACTTAAACTATGTTGGCATACAGAATATGGGTAGGCCAGACCACCAGTTAAATTTGCTAGACACAAAAATAATAATAACTTGAAGATCAAAGAAAACAAAATAACAGACTTTAACTGGTGAAAAGGGCTACATTCCACAGGTGCTATGGAAGAGCTTCTGGAGGGATAATAGATGGCCCATCCCTTTGATTGGCTGTGGTCCACAGAGCCAGAGACAAATTCTTGGAGGTAAGAACATAGCCCATTCACTGGCAGGTCAGAGTTTGCTTACAGCACTCTAGCTAGCACCAAGGCAGATAGTAAGGAGCTACCTAGGATCCCACAATCAGGTCTTTCTTTTTCTTTTTAATGTTAGAAAACCATCTGTGAGGTTAAGAAAATAATATAAATCAAAGCTGACATTGCTAAATGCTGGCTTATAGTCAGCCATCTGGACATGGCATTTTACTAGTCCTTAATGACTTTGTTCAATATTTAATCAAAAATTAAGAAAGGTATAATTAACATGCAACTCTTGTAAAAAAAATAAAAAAATATTAATGTCCCATGAATGACCAGCACAAACTGTTAACCTGTTAAGAAAAGCCCAACTTCTCCACCATTCCAGAATATAAATATATGCCATCTGCTTTTCTGTAAGCATCTTAGGTCGAGGACAAATAAGATAAAGCCAGAAGCTAAGCAGCCAACAGACCAATTGCTCATTCTCTATGTGGCTGATTCATTCATCTCTTGTGATGGGCGTGGTGTCTTTGAATATGCAAGTCTTTGGGGACTTCTTGACCATCTTGCCAGAACTACAGTAAGTGCTTTTTGTTTTCTTGGTAGAATAATTCATCAGTGTTTCCTCGGAGGTTCAAACATGATCACTGGCCACATCCCAAAGAGAAACTGTGGAAACAAGTGAGGACAAAACGAGAAGAGATTATTCTATGTCTAAAAGAAATGAGAATTAACAACTATAATACAGGTTAGGCTTGTTAGTATGAGTACCCTGGGCACAGCAAGGATCTTCCTGACTTTTATCAGATCTCAAAAACTACTTTCACTTAATTTATTTAATGTATTAAGCATCTACTTTGCCAAGCATGGAAGTAGACATTTAATCTGTAATTCCTAAAGATATTTGGTGTTGGGGAGGTGGTGTGCATGTGCACATATGTGAATGCAGTGCTTGTAGAAGTCAGAAGAGGGAACTGGGTTCCCTGGAGCTGGAGTGAGAGGTGGCTGTGAGACATCTGATGTGTGTGTTGGAACAAGGGTCCTTTGAAAGAACAGGACATGCTTTAACTGCTGAGGCATCTCCCAGCCCTTTAACCTTCCATTCTTAAAATAATGCTGTAACATTGTAATTAACAGCTCCATTCTGTTGAAGAAACCCAGGCTTAAAGGAGAGACTTATCTAAGATCACATAGTAATAGATGGATAGTAAACATTTCAGACTTGATGTCTGCTGGTTCCAAAGTCTGTGCTCCCATCTACTGCTCCATAGCTCCCTGTTGTCTCTTACATCCAATTTATCTTCTCAAGATTACCACCACCTGCCCTTTGCAACACAGACTTACCTTCACTTTTGGCCTGTATTTCAGGTAAAGTGTTCTTGTATATAAACTGAAAGAAAAGTGGAAAAATTTCTTAGACAACTCAACTCATAGACTATAACTTCAGGTAATTTTAGGATCAAGCATCTCATTATAATGCCCCATGTGGTTGGTATCACAATTCCATCTTTGCAAATGCAGCTGTAAGCATTAATTAAAGGGATGAGAAACCCAGAAAGGCAACAGTTTTTTGTTTTTTGTTTTTTTTTGGTGTCTGTCTTTAAACTGAGTCACTGCTAGAGGTGAAATTAGATCAGTAAACGTTTGCATATAGTAAACACTGCTGAATTTTTCTCTGAAGGTTGCTAGGTTGTCTGTAATATACAACATAAATAGACTTTTTATATTTATGTATACTACACTATTTAAATGTATTTGAACAGTAACAAGTATATTATTGACAACATATACAAAACCTAATTTTCTATTATTCCAAATAATGTAAAGGTCAAGAGATCCTACATGTTAAATTTCTGAAATTTAACATGGCTATGTTATATTTTCCTGTACTAAAAGCTGGAACTGCAGTGAATGGCAGTTTAGATGTTACCTGAACATTTGCTAGCTGTAAAACTTTGAACTTGTTAATTGCTAATATTTTTAAGTGTTTATCCAACAACAACAACAACAACAACAACAACAACAACAACAAAACCCTAAACAACTGCTTTTAGTGGAAAGTTTGTTAGCATAATTTAGGTAGAAGTAATTTTTCACTGGGCGTGGTGGCACTTGCTACCACTTGCCTAGTACTCAATAGAGGAAAGCAGGAGGGTTTGGGGTTTGAGGCCAACCTGGGCTACTTAGTGAATTTCAGGCCGTCTTAACCTACATGGTAAGAATATCTGGGGGTTGGGGTTGGAGTTGGAGGAACAAGTCCTGTTCAACTTAACCATTTCAACAATCTATTAAGTATTTAACAGAATAGGAAATTGAGGCTTAGGGCCAAATAAGCAATTTGGCTTTGTCTTCTAAGTAAAATGGTAGACTAGAAGTTGCTTCCATGTGACCTGGTTAAGGGGGAAAATCAGTATAAGAAAAAGACCCTATCCTACAGAGAGAAAGAAAAGCTTTTGTCATACAGGTAGTATGACTGAAAAAGTACAGAAAAAAAGCAAAGCGATGTAGCAAAAAGCAGCTAGGCCAAGAAAAGTAAGAATCCCTCTCCTCTCCCCACCCCCTCCCTCTCTGAGCCTAAAGCTAACCTGCAGTAACCCCAGTGTAGGCCTCACCAACTGAGAAAAACCCTGGAGTCTGATAGCTGAGGTCAGCAGGTAGGGCATCCTCTGAAACTACCTATTTGCTGTTCACTGCTGAGGGAACACTTGACATCCACTGCTGAATTCTCCAGCAGGATGATCAATACTTACAGTGTTTGTAAAGTATGAAGTTGGGGTTTCTGTCCATACAGACTCTTGTGCTTTGGTTGCTCCTCCACTCGTCATACACTTGGGAGATCCTACCTAGAACATTAGCTACCTTGGGTACAATACTGGGAATCTCCAGAGAACCTTTCTAGCTCACAGACTGACTCCAAAACTAAGTATAGTCAGCTGAGACTCTTGATACACAGAGAAGCCACTAACGTTAGACAGCTCTAGTGTACTTTGGACATTTGTCCACTATATGCTCCTTACCAGCAAAAAGCATAGCAGAGACAAGTATCTATAAGTTAGTAGGCCTTCCCCTACCTTGTATCTATTATTTACCATCTCCAAGTTTCAAGGGCATAGAAAGCTGTTCCAAGGCTTGGTCTGTTTCTCTTTCCTGTTTTTCTACCTGTGTATTCTCCTTTTTCTCTTCACTTTTAGTAGTATTTCTACACACACACACACACACACACACACACACAAACACACACACACACACACACACACACACACACACACACACACACACACATTTGATAAACATGTTTTTACTCCCTACCCCTGTCCCCCGCCTTTTCTTGTTATTTTGAGGATGGGTCATATGTAGTATAGGCTGGCCTCCAATTTATTATGTAGATGGGGATGACTTTCAATTTCTGACCCTCCTGCATCTATTTCCTGGTACCACCATGCCCAGTTTTATGTGGTACTGGAGATGGACCCCAAGGCTTTGTGTATGCTAAGCAAGTATCCACAAAGTGAGCTACATCTTTTCTTTTTTTGGCTGTTTCCTTTTTCCCTCCTTCCTACTATATCTTTTTTTTTTCTTTTTGAGAGAGTTTCTCTGTGTAGCCCTGGATGTCCTGGAACTTGATCTGTAGACCAGGCTGGCCTCGAACTCACAGAGATCCGATGCCTCTACCTCCCTCCTGAGTCCTGGACATTTTTATTTTTTAATCTCCCTTCTTACATTATCTAATTTTGTTTTCAAATTTTGAATAATGGGAACTCTCTTGTTGCTGTTGTTTTGAGACAAGTTATCATGTAAATAAGGCTGGTCTTAAACTCACTTTGTTTAGCTGAGAATGACCTCTGAGCTCTCAAACTCATGATCATCCTGCCTCTACTTCCCGAGGACTTGGATTACAGGTGAGTACTGTGATCAGCTTTTTTTTCTTTTTCTTTTTATGATCTCTTAATTTTTTTCCACTATGTGTATGTGTGTATATCTGTGTGTGCCATATGTATGTAGGTGCCTGCAGAGGTCAGAAGAGGGGGTTAGGTTCCTTGGAGTTAAGATAACAGGCAACTGTGAGCTGTCCAATGTGGGTAGGTTCTGGGAACCAAACTCAGGTCCTTTGGTAGAGCAGCAAGTGCTGTTAACTGCTGAGCCATCTTTCCAGGCTGTCTTGATCTTTTTTTTTTTCTTTCCTTTCATAATATTCATCTCCACTCTTTTTTTTCCTGTTCTTTTAACTTTGCTTTTCTTTTATTGCTTACTGTCTCCTTCCTTTATCTCATTCAGCATTATTTTCACATTTACTCTAAGCAATTTTTAATTTTATTAATTCTTTGAGAATTTTTCACAATGTATTTTGAACATATTCATCATCCCCATCCCTTGCTTTGCAACTGTTTAACTTTGTAGCACATTATATTAATTTTGCCACTTTCTGTTTTATGGTCAGTGATATAGTATTGGACTTTAATCAGTGCTAACAAGCACTTGAACTTCATTTTGTAAAACCTGTCCTTCTGTCTCCCTTGCTACCTTAAATTTTGGATGAGACTTTGCTTAGATATGCATGCATACACAATAATTACTTAGGGATATTCATTTAAAGTTGATAATGCCACACTGAAAGAATCAAGGTAGGAGAAACAAAGATACTGCTACGATTTGCAGATATCACAATCAGTACGTTACCAATGACCATCTTTTTACAACATCCTGTTCCAGACAACCAGACAGGTACCTAGAAGTCTTCAGTCAATTGCCTTAAACCTGAAGGCTTAACTAATTTCATCTGTTCTTTCTGACTTTCTTTTCCCTTAGTTATTCTCTCTAGGATCCCAGGAATAACAGTTCCAATCAATAGGTCTTACCTATAAACAACTTGTGATGATTCAAAACTAGACTCTCACCCCCAGCTCTGCATGGCCATCTGAGTCAATGTTTAGTAAGATCAAGACCGCTTATCTATGCATGTTCAGATCTTATTCCCACTTTTGTTTCTTCCCAGTTAAAACCAGAAGCTCTTCAGTATCTCAAAGATAGAACTGAAGACATTTGGTCATGTACTTTCTGGTATAGCTATGCTGAATATAGTCTATAGAGTAGTTACAAAGATGCTCTGTCATATCAGAGTATTCCCACGTACATCCAGAGTTTTCCACAAAACTAAGGAACCTTCCTAATCTACCATGATACAACCCTTCTAAGCAGGTAACTAACATCACATTCAAGCTACTTGTTTCCATTTTAAGTGTCCCAAGGATTTCCTTTTCTTTCTGTACTAGATTCTGACCCAGACACACATATACCAACAGGTTATATCTTAACAAGCTTTGTTTTCCTTCACTACAAGAGTTCCTCAGTTTTGTTTCTCATGCACTTGCTGGTCTTAAAGAACACGTTTTTCATTCCGTAGAATGACCTTCAACCTTTATCAATTGTCCCTCAAGATCAGACCCAAGCCAAAAATTTTTGATTCAAAATTGTTTTCTTCCTTTTTGTGGTCCCCTTCCTCCCTTCCTCCCTTCCTTCCTTTCTTTTCTTTCTTTGGCCTTGAACTCAGAGATCTGCCTGCCTCTGCCTCCAGAGTGCTGGGATTAAAGTGTGTGCCACCACTACCTGGCTTCTTTTTTCTATAAATATTTTAGTTTGTTCCCAAGAAGAATCTGAGGCTATATGTGGCATTGGTGAAGAGATCAGTATATACACATTCATTAATTAAAAAACATTATGTACTGGGTTCTGACCACATACATGCCAGACGTTATTCTGTACACTTGAAAGGGGGTAATGAATAAGTAAGTCCCTACTTGGATGAACTTACACAGGGTTGGAGAGGAAAACAAGTAAATACAAACATAATGTGTGATAAATACTTTAAAGGGGCTGGAGAGAGAGTTCAGCAGTTAAGAGCACTGGTGGTTCATAATCATCTATAGCTACAGTTCCAAGCGATCTGATGGCCTCTTCTGGCCTTTGCAGGCACCAGGCACACACACATAGCACACAGAAATACGAGCCAGCAAAGCAAAATAAAAATAAATAAATTAAAAAAAATCAATCAAACAAACAAACGAATGATTTGAAGAAAGATAAAGTCTAATAAGTGGGAAAAGGATGCTATGGAGGTATGACTGGGTGGGATGGCCAGTAAGAACTTAAGTCCATTTTTGACAAAAGTGTCTAATCCTTAACAGTCTCAAAGGGAACAAAGTGATACCAACTTACTTCTGGAAAAGGGTCCTATCTCCAGAAGGTCCAGATTGCCTCTCATCAAGACTTGGATGTAACTGGATATCTTGGATACTAGTCAGCTGTGAGCCATCCACTTTTGGAATACACTTGATAGACTCCCAACTATCAGCTGCTCCATGATCTCATAAATGTAAGAAGGGATTTCTTATGGTCACCCAGTAGCAAAGGCAGTGCTGGAATGCTGATTTTACCTCCAGCATTTTATATTTTCACTTTCCTTCTTGATTTATAAAGTAAAAAAAAAAAAGCAAAATTCTTCCAATAGTAGGTTAAAAAGCCTTTATTTCCTACCTGAAAAGGATGTGAAGATAAGAACCCAGGCCAGTTAAAATATGCCACCATGCATGAAACTGTGTTGCAACACCTAGGATAGGGGGTGCTCTCTTTCGGAAGTTCCTGTGTGGAGAAGGGGGAAACCATTGTGTTACAACTGAAGGTATACTAGTGCTGACAATCTTACATTTTGAAATATTCTAAAACAGGCAATTATTTAATTTCCTCACATTCACTGTATTGTTTTTTTCTAAAAGTATATTGTGAAACAGACAATATTTTCAGAAGTTTCAAGAAGAAATGACTCAAATTAATGTAGAAAAAAATTTATTGACCTCTTATTAACTTTAACTTTAATGCCTATTAATTAAAGGCTTTGAAAAGTCTTACCATAGAATCTATCATTTTGTTTCAGGTAACCTCTAATCTATGGAATTTTTTTGGTATTACTTTATTAATACTCTGGAACAACTATTATTTGGAACACACTTTGAGAAACACTAGTTTAGTTAGCTATTTGCTCAGGAAAAAATACATTTCCATCCATGTCAGTATACCACTATACAGTATGTAATTCTTTTAATATCTATGATTTCACTTCTAAGTGCTTCTTTGAGGGAGCAGTGATTAGCAAAGCTATATACAGCAAGAACTTAAAATTTGTAGATTAGTTTCCCAAGTCAGTCACCTAGGAGTTCAGATGGGTCTCAAATTCTTTTGGTTAAAGAAGTATATGTCATACTAATATTTATTAGAGAATACCAATGTGGAATGCTAACTTGGGTTAGTGGATCACACCCAGGGGATGACTATCCACTCAGCATAACAGTTTCACTCTCCTAGGCATTCTGCTAGATATTTCTAATTCAGAAGCATGCATCTAGCTCTTACTTACTTTATTATTTCCACCCTGGTCCCTCAGGGATTCATGTAGTCTAGGCTAGCTTTCATGTCATTAACCTTCTGCCTAGAGTGCTGGATTATGGGCATACACCACCATATCCAGCTAGATCTTAGTGTTTAAGCAAGGAATGCTTTTACTTGTCTACATTTATACATCTTTTTACTATAGGGATCTAAGCAAAGTATATACTTACCTACATTTAAAGTTCCACAGTTACATATGCAACTTTTTGATACAGGAAATCATTGAGAATTTCAAACACATGCAAAGGTATGTAAAATAAGAGCCATATGAGGTGGTATATGCTGGTAATTCTAGCATTTGGGAAATGGAGACAGAAGGATAAGGAATTCAAGATCATTCTTGGTTGCTTAGTGATCTCAAGACCAACCTGGGCTATATGAGACCTGTCTCAAAAAAAAAAAAATCACCCTCCTCAAAAGTAAGCAAAATAATAATATATCTATTACCAAACCAGTAATTATCAAATTATGCTAAATCCATGTCATCTGAATCTTCATCTATGTCTCTCTCACATTACTTTGAGGAAAATTCTAAATACATTTTATCACTAGATTATTTCAGCATATGTCACTAGAAGAACTTCTTTAAAACACAGCTACAAAACTATTTCACATCTAAAATATTAGTAATAACCCTTTACTATAAAAATTTAATTATTAATCAAGTTCAACATTTCTGATTATGTTTTTACAGTGAACCAAGATTACAAATGGCTTTCCTACACTCATCAGTTTTGGTTTTTGGTGTTGGTGATCCAGTCCAGGGTCTTATGCATACTAGAAAAGCATCTGAGCTATATCCTTAGCTTTTCATAATATATCTCTTACATCTTTTAATCTTAGGTTATACCTTCCTCTTTCTTCCCTCCTGTAATATATCTGCTGCAGAGACCAGATCATTCAACTTCTAAGTTTCCAAAAGTCTAACTAAACCTTGCTGTTTGACACCTTCCTTGGAAAGTTTTACATGCATTTCAAATGGTTATTATATATCGTTCTTGTTTACTTGATTAAGCTGTTTAGGTAATTTTCTTTTCTTCTTTCTTTCTTTTCTTTTCTTCTTTTTTTTTTTTTTTTTTTTGGTTTTTATTTTAGAGACAGGGTTTCCCTGTGTGACAATCCTGGCTGTCCTGAAACTTACTTTGTAGAACAAGTTGGCCTTGAACTCGCAAAGAGCTGACTGCTTCTACTTCCCAAGTGCTGGGTGAAAGCATGTGTCACCACAACCAGCTTGATTAGGTAGTTTTCAAAGACACAGTAAATCTGTGATTAACTGTATAGTTTTGTGATCCACACATAAAAACTAACCCAAGATCATAAAATATTCTGAGGTTTAATTTCAGACAATTTAAATAGGTATTCCCAGAGTTTAATTTTACTGTGCTATACAGTGTCAACATTGGTAAAAAAAATACCTTAGGACACTGCTGTTTCTACATGCCTACAAAATTTTCTGCTTCTATGTTGACAATTAGGGTAGTTACCAATTTGATCAGAGAAGAAGGCCAGTTCAGGTACCCTCTTCACTATTGCTAGGAGTCTTAGCTTGGGTCATTCTTGTGGATTCCTGGGAATTGCCCTAGCACCAGGTTTCTCCCTAACCCCATAATGGCTCCCTTTCTCAAGGCCAAGCACTGGACTGAGCTTCGGGAGTCCAGGACATGAGAGGGAGGAGGGATTCATAAACAAGGAAGGTCAGGATCATGACGAGGGAAACCCACAGAGACAGCTGACCAGAGCTCATGGGACCTCATGGACAGCTGGGGAGCATGCATAGGACCGAACTAGGACCTTTGCATGTGGGTGACAGTTGTATGGTTTATGGTTTGGTCTGTTTGTGGGGCCCCTGGCAGTGGGGTCAGGATTTATCCCTAGTGCATGAGCTGGATTTTTGGAGCCCATTCCCTATGGTGGGATGCCTTGCTCAGTCTTGATGCAGCAGGGAGGGGCCTGGTCCTGCCTCAACTTGATGAACCAGGGTTTGTTGACTCTTCAAGGGAGTGCTTTCTGGGGAGTGGATAGCTGGTGGGAGTAGAGGGAGGTGGGGGGGGGAGGAGGAGGGAAAGAAGGGGGAACTATGGTTGGTAAGTAAAATGACTACAAAATTTATAATAAAAAATTCTCTGCTTAATATAATGCTTCCAAAATTATTTTCTGGGAATGAAAATATATCTTACCTCAGTGAATCACAAAAGATGTTATCTACATTCCACAATAAAAAACCCAATAAAAAGATAGTCAAGGATGTATAACCTAGTCCTCTAAGCCATGGATAAACCCTGTGGAGAAAAGAAAAGCAAAATGACAAATCTTCAAGTCACATCATGATCAGAGGTGAGAGCTGGAAGTCATCATTTTTATGAAAAAGAAAAGTCCTCAGGAGACTAAGAGAAAACCCATTTATTAATGTAGTGCCTTTGCCAATCATGTATTACATACTTGAAGAATTTTTTGAGGTGGGTCTTGCTATGTTGTTACTCAGGCTGTTCTCAAATTTCTGGACTCCCATTGTTCTCTTGCCTCAACCTCTCAGATGTTTAGCTATTTAAAGGTACTGAGAGAGAATTGCCCATCAAGACTGTTGGATCACATTTTCTGCCAGACACTGAACACACAACTAAATCACATAATATACTAAGTGCTTAATGTGTCAGGTATATTCTAAGCACTTCAGTTAATAACACAAAGCCCTGCTCTCAGGGAACTTATAGTATGGTTGGAGCAGGAAACAAAAACACTATTGGCTATAAATGTTTTGAAGAAAAGTAATTTGGAGGTGATATGGAGCTGTCTGTTTTGGTGGGGGTTACCTTGGGTAAATCTGCAAATATACCTGTGGAGCAGGTATTCTTTTCACTTCACTGCTGAGGAAACTAAAGGGAGTAAACTGCTTAAAATATAGTAATAGCAGCTTATTCACTTTTTATAGCTTTAATAAAGTAGTTTTTTTTTTTTGAGATAAGGTCTTATGAGGTTTGGCCTCTAGCTAGGCTGATCAGGATGACCTTGAACTTTTAACCACCCTTCTGCCTCTGCCTCCAATATACTAGGATTATAAGCATACACTACCACACCTGGTTTAGGACATACATATTTAAAAAGCACATCTAGGGACTACAGAGAAGGATCAATATTAAGATAATATACTGAGTTTTGTTCCCAGTACCCATGTTAGGTAGCTTACAACTGCCTGGAATTCTAACACCAGAGGGGCCAACTCCCTCTTCTAGCTTCTGAAGGTACATAACTTACTTGTACATACTCACATACACACAATTAAGAATAAAATAAATTTCAAAGATGTACATATGAATCAAGACTTAGTGGCTCATATTTCTAATCTCACACTTTGGAGGCTGAGTCAGAAAGATGTCATGGTGGGAAGTCACCCTAGGCTATGGAGAGAACCCGTTTCAAGAAGACAAAAACAAATGAAGGTATATCTGTTGAGTCTATTTGTATTACCATGCAACTACTTCTGTGGTCAAAAATAACATATCCATTATCTCAGAAATCTAGAGGGAGAGGAGGAGAGGGAGGGAGGCTGTGTTACCCTTATTTTATGGGTTCTTTCATTTGGTATTGAGATTCATCCATTCTGTCATGTATGTGAATACATCATTTCTTTTGTTACTAATAGTCCACAGTATGGATAAAGCACAATTTGTTTGGCTGTCCAAACGTTGACAGACATTTCTGTTTCTCATTTTTGACCATTACAAATAAAGCATCTATGAACATTCTTAATTAAGGCTGTGTGTTGAAATATACTTTCATTTCTATTGGGTAAAAAGGAATGGATTGGTTGTATGAGATAAACGTTTAGCTTTTCAAGACACTGTTCAATCATTACCCTTCCTCTTTCCCCTTTCTTTCTTGGTCCTGGAATAAAACTAGGGACCATAATATGTTAGACAAGTTTGCTACCACTGGAGAGTCCCTCAAGCATTGGTGGAAAGCAATTGGTACTAACTTACATTTCTACCAGCCATGTACAGTGGTTTGAGTTGTTCTGAATCCATGCACACCTAGTGTGTCAATCCCTTTCATTTTAGTCCTATCTTTAGTAACGTAGTGTATCTCATTGTGTTTTCTATGTCCATTTCCCTCAAAATTAATGAGGGACATTGTTTTGTGTACTTACCTGTCATCCATACATCTTCAATGTGGTGTTTATTATTTGAGTTGTAAAAGTTCTTTATAATAGATTCTGAATGTAAGTTCTATGTTGGAAATATGTTTTGGAGATATTTCCTCAAACTGTGTGACTTGCCTTTTTTTTTTCTGAACAAAGTCTCTAAGAATCAAGTTTATAATTTTTTTCAAGCCAAGTTCTTGCTATGGTTGCCTAGAATGAGCTTGAGCTCATGGGCTCAAGTTATACTCTCACTTTGTTCATGCCACTGGGTCTGGCAAAGGTTTGTTAATTTTAATTAATTTCATACTTGAATTTATCATTTTTTCTTTATAGTTTGTGTCCTAATAAATCTTTGCCTGAAGTTTGCAAAGATTCCTACTAGAAGTTTAACAGTTTTAGTTTTTACATTTAGATATGACTCACCTCTGTTATATTTTTTATAATGGGCTGAGAAACAGTTCAGGGGTAGAACACTTCCATAGCAGGCATATGAGGGTATGTGGTTGATGGCTGTCTTTACTTATAGGACTAGGCATGGTGGCTCATACCTGCAACCCCTGCACCTGGGAGGCTAAGGCAGAAGTCAGTCTGGGATAGACACCAGGAGAGACTAATTCAAAGAAGACTTAGTACTAATTAAAAAAAAAGTAAAATGGTGGTACTATAATAACCTTAATTTATTTTAGATACTACAGGAATTAAAAAAAAACACATAATGGGTGTGTTATATGCTACAGAATTTATAGGCTAAGAAAATTCCTTTTTACTACTATTTAGTAAGGTCTTTTGTTTTTAGATTGTGAACATTTTATAGAATACTTTCTGTAAATCTACAGGTATATATATATTTTATCTTTTATTTTTAAAATAAGGTAAATAGTAAAAACAAATATTTTTAAGACTTTGTTGTTTTAGCTGTAAATATTTGCATGTAAATAGTGATTTATTTTTATGTATTTAGCAATGTTTTGTGTTTTTTGAGGCAGAGGCAGCCATGTAGCTAAAGGTAACCCTGGAACTCACAGTGGATGATTTTGAACTCCTGATCCTCCTGTCTTTGCCTACCAACTTGTTAACATTCCTGGATCAATGGGGATTGTCTAAACTTATGGCCAATCTGCAGCTCTCGTGAGTAGTATGAAGAAAAATTATTCAATGGGGTGAAATGAATGTCTTTGGTTATCTAGGTAGCAGGGCATGAAGGAAAGAGCAAGAACTTCATCAACACACGGACCATGAATTCTCAGAACAGACAAAGATTTTGGAGATATATTACCCATATAACTCAGGGTTTGAGAATAAAACACATAAATTTCTCAAAATATGTGTCTGATGTCATAAGGCTTTACATTCAGCCTGCCTGCCTGGTGTAAATTTATCATCTAAGATGTCCTTTCTCTTCTCCTTCCCTTGGCAAGTGCCTTCAACTCTCTCCTGGGTTAATCCATGTCTTGAATCCCATGCCTTCTTCCTTTTTGTATTTCTCTCTTTTTGGTGAAACAAATTTTCTGATAGGAGGGTATTCCTTACCAACAGTTTACTGACTTTAAATTTCTTTTGCAAACTTTAATAAATGAAAACATACTTTTCTCCAAATTTTGTTGCTAGTTTGGTCGACTACAGAATTCTAGGTTAGACAATTTTCTTTAGAAATTCAATGTCACTGGTCTACTGTTTCTAATGTGGCTTTTGGAAATTCAAAAATCATTCTGATTTCTAGTCATGTCTCCCAAATATTTCCTAGACTGCTTGTTCCTGTTATTGTCTGGTACTTGAAAACACTCTGCTTGCAAGGTGAGGTTTTTGAATTAGGATGTGACTTTCCATGTCACTCTAACAGAGTTAGTAGAAATCTAAAACCTTCCAGTTTTGAAGGTTTTGAAGATTTTACTGAATCTTTTCCTTGTGGCTTTATGCTTTTAAAATAAAGTTTTTTGTTGTAGTCTTAGTCAGACAGAAGCGAAATAGATGTTGATACTTTTAAATACTGGGTGCTTTAGTATTTCTATCATTCATTTCTCTTCAGGTTTACTCTAATTATCTGATTTCTAATTTGTTGTTGTTTTGAGACAAGGTCTCATGTAGCCCAGGCTGGCCTTGAACTTGCTATGGGGCCAAGGTTAACACTGAACACCCCCCCCCCCAAATGCAGGAGTTACAGACACAGGCCACCACATCAGGCCTTTGTTTTCTAATTCTTGAAGTTGAAAGATTAATTACTTCTTTTAACTAACTCCATCCCATCCTTTCTGAACTGGGGTCTCACTATGTAGCTTTGGCTGACCTTGAACTCATAGATCCTCCTGCCTCTGTCTCCCAAGAACAGGGATTAGAAGAATATGCTACCAAGCCTGGCTTCTCTTCTTTTTCTTTTTAAGAGGGGGTACTGTTAGGTAGCCCAAGCTAGCTTCAAACTTGTAGTCTTCTTGCCTCAGTAGGAGTATACTTTTCCTGGAAGTATAGGTGTACACAACTTCTGCCAGTATAGAATTTTAGTACCTTATTTCATCTCAAGAGAGATTCTGATCAGCTTCTTTAATACATGCCCTTTATTGTGTAAGTAACCACTACACACTGAAAGAGATTTGATCAATGGTACCACTTCCCAGGAAACTTCTAATACATGCCCTTTATTGTGTAAGTAACCATTACACACTGAAAGAGATTTGATCAATGGTACCACTTCCCAGGAAACTTCTGATGTCATGTACTGGGGTTGAGAAAACTACAGACCTTGTTTCCTGAGGCACTTCTACTTTCACTCTATCCTCTGTCTTTCTTTCCACATTTTGTTGAGGAGGGGAAGGCAGTTCTATCTTCTAAACTGCACAGTAAAATAGATACTGCAGAAAGATGAACAGTAAGTATCCTCTTATAAATTATTTGCACAGAACTGGGCAGTGTATAATCCACTTGGTAATGTAGTAATTGGAGTAAATGTGAACAACAAGCATCACTTGGATTCTGCCAGCAGGGCAGGCTTGGGAACAGCCAGGACCCCTTTGGCATGCCAGTGCCTGAAAGGGACACTGTGTGTGTGTGTGTGTGTGTGTGTGTGTGTAAAAAACCTAGAACTTGAGGCTGAAAGTTATCATCTTCTTTTACTGGAGGACATTTGTTTTCAGGACCCAATCTTTTACTGACTATGTATCTTTCTGGTTCTAGTACATGTGACATGGTGATGGGAAATCAGTTCAAATTATCCAGGCTTTTAAAAAAATCATTTTACATGTATTAATTTTGTGTGTGCATACATACAGGTGTATATATGCAGTAAGTACCACAATATACATGTGGAGGTCAGAGGCCAACTTACAGGATTTGGTTCTCCTTTTCCACCATGTGAGTCCTGGAATTAAACTCAGGTCACCAGATTTGGCAGCAAGCACTTTTATTCATAGAGCAATCTTTCAGGCCCTAAACTAAAAACTTTTGTTTTCTGTTTATTCTGAGGCTCTTGAAACTAAAGATATTAGTGTACTAGCATCTTCCAATGCCTTCAAACTATTAGATAAACACTCATTTATCTCTGCAACTTCTTCTTTGGATTTGATGCTTTGGAATTCTTCTCATGCCCCTTTAAACTAGCTAGCATTTAAAGTTTTTTGTGTTTTATTCAGAATAACCAAGTGTTTTGTTACAGAAGGAATTTTAAGATCTCAGTAACATTTAAAAACAAAATTTGAGATTTTCTATTTGATATTAAGAACCTTTTACAGAAGAATGGTCCTAGGTTCTAGAGATTATCAAGTTAACTAAGTCTTAAGAAGCTAACAAAGAACCACGAGGTAGTGCACTCCTTTAATCCCAGCAATGGCAGATGATTTCTGAGTTCGAGGCCAGCCTGGTCTACAGAGTTCCAGCACAGCCAGGACTACACAGAGAAACCCTGTCTAGAAAAATAAACAAACAAAAACCAAAGGCAACAACAACAACAAACCCCTCACAAAGTAGTCAGAGACAGATAAGGAGAAAACACAATGTAGTCAGACACAGATAAGGAGAAAATGAACAACACTAAATGAAATGATCACTAAACAGAGATACAAGAAAGAAGGTACTACAAGATAGATAAAAGATTGATTTTATTTCATAAAATTGTTACTAGCAAATACTTTAAAAAGTCTTTTTATTATATGAGAGAGTGGGGAACTCTCTCTCTCTGTGTGTGTGTGTGTGTGTGTGTGTGTGTGTGTGTGTGTGTGTGTGTGTGTTTTGTTGGTACCTTGGCATGTTGCTTTTGGGGGTTGGTTCTCTCCATTTAACTGTTAAAAGTAAAATTTAACATGTGGGGCCTGGAGGGAAGTGCCTTTACCTACTTACCGAGTCATCTCACCAGCCCATTGGTAAGTCCTTTTTAAAAGGTATTTGTGTTTCTCAGCATCCCTATATCCTATCAGACTGAAATTAAGATTTGAAATGTGTTTTATTTTAGGTGCTCAGATTACAAACAGAATACAGTGGGGAAAGATGGAGTAAACTGAGTTTCTTTCCATTAAATTCCACAAAATCCTATGTATTAAATGTAATATTGAACAGACATTAGAAGACTTTGGAAGGTAGGGAGAAGGAAGTAGACTAGGTATGGGTTCTGAGACCTGAAAAATGATAGTGGTAAGTTTCCTATGTTTTCTTTTAAAATTAATATTTTAATTAACACATTACAACAAATTATGGTTATATATACTTATGGAATACATGCTCATGTTCTTTGTATACAATGTTGAGTAATTAAATCAAGCTAATTGACATCTCTATCTCACTTGTCATTTTTCTGTGGTAACATATTTGAAATTTATTCTCTTAGCTATTTGAAATGCACATTACTAACCATAGTTAACTGTTGTACAATAGACCTCAAAAACATATTCCTCCTGTCTGATACTTTGTACCTTTCCAGCAACATTTTCCCATTGCCTTGCTGCTCCACCCCCAGCCTCTATAACCACCATTTATTCTATACTTATAAGAGTTCAGCATTTTCAGTTTCCACAAGTATGAAAGACTGTATGGCATACTTGATATTCTTTTTTTTCTTTTTAAAAACTGATCTTTAAAATTACATTTAGTGTGGTATGTGTACACATGTACCATGGAAGGGCAACTCACAGAAGTCAGTTCTCTCCTCCCACCACATGGGTCCCAGGGATGGAACTCAGATTGTTAGTTATTCTAAGTCATCTCACCAGCTCAAGTGGTATTTCTACTTAAACATGGCTTATTTCACTTAGCACAATACTCTTCAGGTTCATCTACCATATGCATTCTTTGTTTGTTTGCTTGGAGTTTTTCAGACAGGGTTTCTTTGTGTAGCCCTGGCTGTCCAGGCACTAGCTCTGTAGACCAAACTGTCCTCAAACTCACAGAGATCCTCCTGCTTCTGCCTTCCAAGTGTGTATGACCACTGCCTGGCACCACATGCATTCTTTTGGGCTAGTATACTCTGGACTTAGAAGGGAACTAGCCAGTATATGAAGTCTAGGCACAGACAGAAAAGGTCCCAACAAAACCTACTTTCTCCACCAAATGAATCAAGATAAGAGCCAACCTTGAAACACAGAAACTTGTAATAATCACCTGCTAGAGTCAATCAGTCTCTCTGTCTCTGTCTCTGTCTCTCTCTCTCACACACACAAAATGTAGTTCCTTCTCCAAGAAATTCAGCAAATTGGGTCCAGACTTCCATCCTTATTAGGTATCCAGGAAAAAGGCAGAAGGATCACAAGTTCACAGCCAGCCTGGGCAATACAGCCAAGATTGTCTTGTCTCAAACAACAAAACCAGAAAATACACTTCCCCTTTCTTGAGTTTTTAAAGAAAATGTATTGAGGCAAAAATCACAATGTCATCTGATGTGGTTCTAAATTTATGTAGAGAAAATATTTCAGGTAATTATATTTTAAATGGAACAAGACACATTGAATTATTCTCTTCTCCACTCCCAAAATACATTGAATTCCTAATCCTAGTACTTCAGAATGACTTTATTTCTAACTAGGGTCACTGCTGATCTTTCATGAAATAAAAACTGCTGGTAAGAATGCAGAAAAATTGAATCACACATACATTATAGGCAAAAATGTAAAAATGGCAGAACCACTCTGGAAAACATTTCTGCAGTTTTAAGAAAAACTAAACATACAATTTCCATATGTCCCAACAATTCTACTCTGCGACTTTATTCCAGAGGAAAGAAAACAAGTGCTTTTTCAAAAATCTTGTACATAAATGTTCATAGTAGCTTTATGACAGCCCCAATCTGTAAGTTACTCTACTATGGTACACCTATACCATGGAATACTACTCAGCAAGAGAAATATGCACTATTATGGAGGATTATACTGAGGTTCAAAAATAATCTTTAAGGCTATACTCTATAGAGTTTTATTTATAAAACTTGTTTGAGAAGACAAAACTATAAATACAAAAAAGACTAGTAATTGCCAGGGATTAAGGACAGGGAGTAGGGGGCAGGAAGTAAATGAGGTGATAAAGGAACAACACAGGGATCCTTCTGTTGATGTGTTTTGTGTCTCAATTGTGTTAGTATCAACTCCTGGTTGATACCATATTATACATGCATTTCTACATTATCTCAAAATAAAAGATTGTACCACTTGAGCTGAATACCCAGTGTATGGCTAGGACCCACTTAATCTCATGAGTATTATTTAATTTTCATAAATTCTTTTGTTTTGTTTTTGTTTTTGTTTTTGTCTTGAGACAGGGTTTCTCTGTATTGCCCTGGCTATGCTGGAACTCACTCTGTAGACCAGAATGGCCTTGAACTCACAGAGATCCACCTGCTTCTGCCTCAGAGTACCAGGATTAAAAACATGTGCCAGCACCACCTAAGATAAATTCTTATTAAAGATTATGTATAACTCTTAATGATCTTGTGTAAAATACTTGGTGGGAGGAGGTGAGTAGTACTTTTCAAAGTCTTTAACATCCTAGTCAATGTTACATATAATCAAGTAGATGTCTCATATATAGTTTTCTTCAAATTTCTTTAATTTCAGAACTTTTGTTTTTATATGATGCACATTAATAAGTTACTTGAAGAACAAGCCTTCCATACATCATAAATAAATGATGGATTATAGTTTTCTAGCACTATTTTGCTAGAGTTAGGTTTTATTTTATTCCAATTTAGACTATAGATTTACGGATATAAGCCTAAGTATATTTTTATCAGAATGTTGATGGTAGATCCAAACTACTTACCATGTGACAATATAAATAGAACGAAGTACTAATGTAAAGACCAACATTCCATACATGACCTGAATAGGGCAGAAAAAGAAAATGGTCAGTAGAACTCTTCCTTTCTTCCTATCTACCTATCCATTCCATCCATCGTCCATCCGCCGTCCATCCATCCATCCATCCATCCATCCATCCATCCATCCATGTATGTTGTGGTAACAAGGATTGAACCCAAGCATCATACATACTAGGGAAGTGTTCTGCCACTGAGCTACTACATCCTTTTTTAATTTTTTTATTAGTTTATTTTTTACATTCCAATCCCAGTTCCCCCTCCCTATCCTTCGGCTCCCCCAATTCCTCCCCCCAAAATCCCATCTGCTCCTCAGAGAGGGTAAGGCCTCCCCTAAGAAGTCTACTAAGTTTGTTCCATCATCCCCTTGAGGTAGGACCAAGGCCCCTCCTCACCACCCACACCCCTATGTCTAGACTGAGGAAGGTATCTCTCCATATGGAATGGGCTCCACTGAGTCCATTTGTGTATTAGAGTTAGATCTTGGAACCACTGTCAGTGGCCTCAAATATTGCCCCAGTCACACCATTGTCACCTATATTAAGGGAGCCTAGTTCAGTCTTATGCACGTTCCCCATTTGTCAGACCAGAGTCAGTGATCTCTCACTAGCTCGGGTCAGCTGATTCTATGGGTTTCCCCATCATGGTCTTGACTCCTTTGTTCATATTATCCCTCCACCCTCACTTTGATTGTACTCCAGGAGCTTGGCCCAATGGTTAGTTGTGGATTTCTACATCTGCTTCCATCTGTTTCTGGAAGAGGGTTCTAGCTTCTCTGGGGTTGTGGATTATAGGCTGGGTATCTTTTGCTTTATATTTGGTATCCACTTGTGAGTACATACTATATTTGTCTTTTTGGGTCTGGGTTACCTCACTCAGGATGGTTTTATCTAGGTCTGTCCATTTGCCTGCAAATTTTAGGATGTCATGGTTTCTTACCACTGAGTTGTACTCTATTATGTAAATATACCATATTTTCTTTATCCATTCTTTGATTGAGAGGCATCTAGGTTGTTTACAAGTTCTGGCTATTATCAATAATATAGCTATGAACATAGTTGAGTCCTTGTGATGTGAATGTGCCTCCTTTGGGTATATATCTAAAAGTGGAATTGCAGGGTCTTGAGGTAGGTTGATTCCTAATTTTCTAAGAAATTGCCATAGTGATTTCCACATCAGCTATACAAGTTTGCACTCCCACCAGCAATGGAGACATGTTCCCCTTTCTCCACATCCTCCTCAGCATAAGTTGTTGTTGGTGTTGTTCTTAGCCATTCTGATTGGTGTAAGAAGATATCTCAGAGTTGTTTTGATTTGCATTTCCCTGACAACTAAGTATACTGGCATTTCTTTAAGTGTCTTTTCACCATTTGAGATTGTTTTGTTGAGAATTATCTGTTTAGATCTATGCCCCACTTTTTAATTGGATTATTTGGTAATGTGATGCTTAGTTTATTGAGTTCTTTATATATTTTGGAGGTCAGCCCTCTGTCAGATGTGGGGTTGGTGAAGATTTTTTTTTCCCATTCTGTAGGAAGCCGTTTTGTCTTCTTGACAATGTTCTTTGTTTTACAGAAACTTCTCAGTTTCAGGAGGTCCCATTAATTAATTGTTGCTCTCAGTGTCTGTGCTACTGGTGTTCTACTTAGGAAGTAGTCTCCTGTGCCTATGTGTTCAAGGGTATTTCCCACTTTCACTTCTATGAGGTTCAATGTGGATAGATTTATAGTGAGGTCTTTGATCTATTAGACTTGAGTTCTGTGCATGGTGATAGATATGGATCTATTTGTGTTCTTCTCCACATTGACAGTCAGTTATACCAGTACCATTTGTTGAATATGCATTCTTTTTTCCATTGTATAATTTTACCTTCTTTGTCAAAAATCAGGTGTTCATAGGTGTGTGAGTTGATATCAGGGTCTTCAATTCGATTCTATTTGTCCTCCTGTCTGTTTTTATGCCAAACCAAGCTGTTTTCATGACTACAGCTCTATAGTAGAGCTTGATGTTAGGGATAGTGATGTTCCCAGATGATCCTTTATTGTACAGGGATGTTTTGGCTATCCTGGGTTTTTTGTTTTTTCATATGAAGTTGAGTATTGCTCTTTCCAGGTCTGTGAAGAACTGTGTTGAGATTTTGATGAGGATTGCACTGAATCTGTGTATTACTTTTGGTAGGATTGCCATTTTTACTATGTTTATCCTACCTATCCAAGAGCATAGGCTATCTTTCCATCTTCTGATATCTTCTCCAGTTTCTTTCTTTAAAGACTTGAAGTTCTTGTCATACAGGTCTTTCACTTGCTTGGGTAGAGTTACAATAAGATATTTTATATTATTTTTGGCTATTATAAAGGGTGCTGCTTTCCTGATTTCTTTCTCAGACCATTTATAATTTGTATAGAGGATGGGTACTGATTTTCTTTTTGAGTTAATTTTCTATCCAGCCACTCTGAAGAAGATGTTTACCAGCTGTAGGTAAACATTCTACCTGGTAGAATTTTTGGAGTCACTTATGTATACTATCATATCATCTGCAAATAGCCCTCAATTTGACTATTTCTTGCCATTTACTCCTGGGTGAGTTTGCTTCTTTCTGTTCTAGCACTCTCAGTTGCTCTGTTAATTCACTAGTGTGGGATTTTTCCAGCTTCTTTATGTAGGTATTGAGCTACTATACCCTTAAGCTCCCAATTCTTTTTTCTTTTTCTTTTATTTCACACAAACTCTTACTATGTAGACTAGACTGCCTGGAGTTCTGGATCCTCCTGCCTTAGTCTCACAAGTGCTGGGACTACAGCTGTATGCTACCATGTCCAATTTAAAGTCAGTTTTTAAAAAGATGGAAGGGTCAAGTGTAGTGGCACATACTTCCATTACTGGGTATTTCCATTACTCAGGAGGCTAAGACAAGAAGATCATTAGTTTGAGGGTAGCCTGGACTATATTGCTAGACCCCCATCTCAAAGCCAGCCAACCAACACACATTGATCTTTCTCATAATTAATAAGATTCCAAAGTAATTGGACAGCAGAGTATCATATAATAATATAGGCTATGAAATAAAAAACAAAAAAAGTTTTTCCCTAGCTTTGTCACTAACTAGATGAGAGAAAGCAGACTAATCATTTATCCTTTCATACTCTCACTTATTTCATTTACAAAGAAAGATATTTTAGTATGATACTGGTTAATTCAATCTATGTAATATGCATGAATAGACAGACATTGTATATACATGTTATAATGTAGCATAAACAGATCAAAATTATTAGCTATCTTTTTTCCAAATGTGCTTATCATATCAGCTTCCTTACAGTTCTAGTTAGTAATAAAATGTACAAAGAAGCATAATAGAAAAAATTTAACTCAAACTACTTAGTCTTGTTTTTCACATTGTTTACACACTGTGTTTTTACAAAACCTGAGGGAGAAGTGAGAAAAGACAAGTCTCCATATACTGATGTACCACATCGATCTTTAGTGGACATCTACTCTTGTCAGGAAAATTAAATAACAGGGCTCCTTGAGATAGCAGATGGTCTCTGAGATATCAATTACTGATTTGTCAATTCGCTGCTATAAAGGCTTCACTGGCTTCCTAGGCATTCTTTTTTATCTACTCATATATGCTTTTCTTTTTTTCCCCTTTTCTTTAAGAAGTACTGGTGAATCTATTTAATGTGGCAGTTATATAATTAGGATATTACCTCATTTTGAAAGACCATCAAATTTGGGTTCTCATATAGAGATTTCTGGATCACCTTGGACTTAATAGTAAAGTAGAATTTTTATCAGTACTTTCCCTCCTCTGGAAATTGAATCTGTCAAGCACATACATTTGTTGTTTATTAACCCTTCCCTTTTAGTTTCATAGCATTGCTATAGCATCTATCTCTAGAACTAAGTCAAATCTCTTTTAGAAGCTTTTTACAATTTATCATGGGCAGGAATCTACATGTCATTTTACATCTTAATGTACAGTTTTAATGCCAGGTCCTCCTGCAGTCAAGACTGTGGGAAGGGCTGGTCCAGTCAGTCACTTCCTGGGGCTGAGTGGGATGTGAATGTCGGCAACCCAGACCCCACCCCCACCCCCCCTTAGTCACCGGAGAGAACCACACTGAGCCGTGGAGACCTGTCAAAGCAGTCTCACTTTATTGTAACATGCATGGGCTTATATAGAGTTGACAAAGTGGGTGGGGACCTCAGGATGGGGTGAGGTGTAAGGGCCAATAATATCTCACCACGCTAGCAGTAGCTGGGCAGAGGCAGTTTTGCTGAGTAACTCCTATGCGGAAGTGATAGCTCAAAGACAGGTCTCCAAACTCTAGCCAGGCTCAGGAAATTCCACTAGGCCTTTTTAGGCCCAACATTTTAAAAATATTCATTTTTATTAATATACGTAGCTTGCCAGTATGACTATGTATTGTGTGCATGCCCAATGCCTGCACAGCTAGAAGAGGACATTAGATCACTTGGAACTGGAGTCATAGATGGTTGTGAGCAACTGAGGGAAGTTGGGAATGAAACAACTGGCCTTCCCAAGGAAGAACATACCAATTGGTTGTCCAGTGCCAAATGATCACCCAAAAAACATATATACAGGTAGCAATTTATGGACTCAATAGGTTATATTTAGGAGTACATGTATATTTGTATACACATATACATGTATGCATGCAGTAACAATTAGTGTTTTCTTTTTTTTAGGCCATGAATTTGAAGGAGCGTGGAGGAGTATATGAGAGGGTTTAGAGGGAAGAAAAGGAAAGGTAATTATAATCATTTATTTTTGAGACAGGATTTCTTTGTGTAGCCCTGGATGTCCTGGAACTAGATCTGTAGACCAGCCTGGTCTCAAACTAAGAGATCTGACTGCCTTTGCCTCCCAAGTGCTGGGGTTAAAGGCGTGGGCCACCACTGCCTGCCTTAAATTTTAATCTTGTAAAAAAAGAAAAGCAAGCTGAGAAATCCATGAGGAGGAGGCCAGTAAGTCTTGCACTCTCAGTTTAAGTTCCTACCTCCAAGTTCCTGCTTGAGATCCTGCCTTGACTTCCCTACATGATGGACTGTAAGCTGTAAGATGAAATAAACCGTTTTCCTCTCAAGTTTCTTTTGGTCATGGTATTTATTGCAGCAACAGAAGCAAACTAGGATATTCTCTGAAGTGTTTTTATTCCAGACTAGTTCTTTATTCTTTACTTGTGCTTGATGAATTTAGCTTTTGTGATCCACAGAATCTTGTTACATGGCCTAGGATGGCTTGAATTTACAATCCTTTTGCCTTAGCCTCCAGAATTCTGGGATTACAGACATGCACTGTTTGGCTTATGACTTTGTTATTTTTAAAGGTTATAGTCAAGTTACTTTGGGGAATTTCCTTAAGTTTGGGTTTGTTTTATATCTCTTTGTGATTTACTAAAATGATGCTGCATCCTCAGTGAATCACATCAGGAGAAACAGGATACCCATTTGATAACTATTACTGGTGATACTAAATTCATTGTAGATTTTTCTAAATATGGTATCTAAACCATGAGTTCATATTAATACTGACCTAGAATTCTTTTTTTAATTATTATTGCTCTGGAAATTCTTTCTTTTTTAAAAAATCAACTTTATTTATTTTACATCCCAACCGCAGTTACCCTTCTCTCCTCTCCCCTGTCCCCAAATCCACTCCTACTCTATTTCTGTTCAGAAAGGGGTGGGCCTCCCATGGGTATCAATGAAGCATGGCTTACCAAGTTGTGGTAGGACTAAGAACCTCTTCTTGTATTAAGGCTGGGCAAGGCAACCCAGTAGGAGGAATATGATCTTGAATTCATAACTTCCTCTTGCTCCTGACTCCTGAGTGCTAGGATTAGAGGTGGGCACCACCAAGCCCAACTATCTCTTTCTATATGTAACTTCCTCTAACAGTGAGGAATAGCTGTTTGCTCAATTGTTTGGTAGTTTATTATAAAGAACAGTACAAAGGATGCAGATGAGTAAGAGAAGGTATGGCAGAAGGTACGCAAATTTTTCATGCCCACTCTAAGCATGCCATTGTTCTACTTTCTGGAAGCATTTATCTTGTCTTTGTGTGTGTGTGTGTGTGTGTGTGTGTGTGTGTGTGTGTGTGTGTTTGTGTGTGTACATGAGCACTAGCACCAGCGTGTGTGGGCACATGCTAAGGACATAGATATCCTGGGTTTAATCCCTGGACCTAGGGTATAAATCACAATGGACATAGGTAGACTCAGTTTTCAACCTGCTTCTCTTTTTATCAGCATACATTACTGTTATATGTAGAGAAGAAAATATTTCTTGCTGGAAAACACATAGCTATTGAATATGGGTAGGTTACATTGATATTTTGTCATAGAACAGATTTGAATAAGCCTAAAACACAAAATGGAAAACTGATGGTCATTAAATTACAAATCTTTCTAAATAAAATGGCAATTACATAATGATTCACTGTAAATTAAAATAAATAAGATGTAGTGTTGATGAGTACATATGCTTCAAAGGCCTGAAGAAAAAAAAAAGGCCCCATAAGGAAGTTACAGATTTTATCTTAACAAATGGAGTACAGTTAGATGATTAATGTATTGAGTTAGAGGAATATTTATTTTCTATATAAGCATTTAAGAGTATGAGTCTGACATTCCTGAGATGTATTTATGTATGTATGTGTATATATGTATGTATGTGTGTCCATATGCATCTTAGCTATTTTGTTAAAAGAATGGTAGCAGGAGTCATACATTAGTTACTCTTTTTCTATTGCTGTAGAGAACACCATGACCAAGGGAGCTTATAGAAGACAGGGTTTATTTGGGCTTATGGTTTCAGAGGGTTAGAATACATGGTGCAGAGTGGAGGCAGCAAACTACAAGAATGGTGGCTGGACTACAAGCTGAGGGCCCACATCTCTAACCACAAGCAGAATTCAAAATGACAGCAAATCTTTAAACTCTTAAAGCCCACTTTCAGTGTACTTCAACAAGAGACCACTTCCTAAACCTCCCAAACAGCACCCTCATCTGGGGACCAAGTATTCACACATCTGAGCCTGTGGGGCATATTCTCATTTAGACCACAAGTCATGTAACTCTAGGTTATGATCCTAGCTCTGCCTCATACCATATTTGCTGTCTGAAGGCAACTTATTTCATATCTGAGTTCATTTCCCTTAAGATATTCAGACTAATCCCTAATTTGTAGGGCTGTCAGTGAGAATAAAAGTTTGAAGTTTGTATGGTGTCAGGCACAGTACTCCATCAATAACCCCCACCTCAAAAAATCCATTAAATATATTAAGGAGAAAATATCTGAGGAATTTACAGTTTAGTTTTTTCTATATCATAATATTTTAAAGACTTTTTTTTCTTTTGGACAGAAGATCTAACAGGCTAATCTGGTCTCAAACTCACTATGGAGATAAGGCTAGCCTGATCCTCCTTCCTGCATCTCCCAAGTGCTGGCATTACAGGTGTGTGCTACCACATTAGGCTTCATAAAAAGACTTTATGTGTGTGCATATGCATGAATCTCCAGGGTTCTTTCAGCTTCTAAGAGTGATACTGTACCTGTATTACTGAATACCAATATCCAGCTGGACTGTTACATTGGCTGTCACAGTTATATTCCTATTACTGATGCCTAGCTCCTGTTTGTAGCTTTTTAAAGTGATCTTTGCTTTGAAATTCTTTTTTTGAGTACTACCACATTTTAATCACAGCACTTGTGCAAGCAGCATAGGCAGATGGATCTCTATGAGTTGAAGGTCAATTTGATCTACATAGAGCTCCAAACCAACAAGGGCTGTATCCAGCACAATCATAAAGCCCATGCTGGCTTTGAACTGACTTTGTGGCTGAGGATGACCTTGAAGTCCTCCTGCTAGGATCTCTTAAGTACTGGAATGTACCATTATTCTAGACCACTGGTTCTCAACATGTGGGTCATGTTCCCTTTGGTGGGGGGGGGTTGGACAACCCTTTCACAGAGGTGGCATATCGTATATCCTGCATATCAGATATTTACATTATAATTCATAACAGTGTCAAAATTATAGCTATGAAGTAGGAATAAAAGAATTTTACAGTTGGGGGTCACCACAACATGAGGAACTATAATAGAGGGTTGCAGCATTAGGAAGGTTGAGAACTAGTATTCTAGGCTAATAGTAGATTCTTGACATTTTACCATTTCAGTTTCAAAAGTTGTATCAGCATATAATTTCCTAGAGAAGGGAAACACAGACAACAGGCATATACTGTTAAACAAGTAAATGTTTCATAACTAAAAAAAAAAAAATATCAGGCTGGAGAGATGGCTCAGTAGATAAGGACACTTCTTACTCTTGCAGAAGACCCAGGTTTGATTCCCAGAACCCACAGGGCAGCCCAAAACCATCCATAGCTTCGGTTCCAGGGGATCTGATACCTTCTTCTGACTTTCATAGACCCCAAGTATGCACATGGTACACAGAGATACATGCAAGCAAAACACTCACATAAATAACATAAAATAAATAAATCTTTAACAAAATTACCTGATGGAATATAGGTTCTTTTACTTTTAGGTAAATCTGAAAAATATTAGAAGAAACATAAGTGAAGGAAGGTATATAAAAACCTATTCCAGCCACTCTTCAAATCCCAAACCCCTTCTTCCTCTTTGTTATTCCAACCAGATTCTAGCCATATAAAACCAATCAGACAAGGTGGCATGGCACAGAAGGTTAGCACCTACAGGTAGCCTTTTCTCATGTTAGTCCAGGCATGGCAAAATAAATAATTAAGTATTTCAATCAGTGATGGGCTGCTTCAGCATTGGTCTTTGTGTCACAATCAAGGAGAGTCAAGGATACAAGGTTATTCGTGGGCTGGGCATTGGTGGCGAATGCCTTTAGTCCCAGCCTGCCAGTGGCAGGGGGATCTCTGTGAGGTTGAAGCCAGCCTGGTCTACAGAGCGAGTTCCAGGACAGGCTCCAAAGCAATACAGAGAAACCCTGTCTTGAAAAAAACAAAACAAAACAAGGTTATTCATGGAGCATGGATAAATTATCTCAACAGTCCCTGTACCAGTAGAAAGAATACTGTAATCTGGGACCAAAGTCAAATTTCTAGCTCTTCCACTTAATTGCTATAGGCTTTCAGCAAATGCCATTTAACTTAAACAAATTGATCCTTACCTGAAGAAAGGAGAACAGCAGCATGGAGTATGCTAAACTAAAGTACACAAAAGGATCTAGACATACTAGATTATCAGTAAGTGAAGCCATTTAAACAAAATCCTTATAGACATTTCAGCTTCCAAACTATTCACTACCTAGATACACCTACAGTTACACAAATCCAAGTTTCAGGCTCCAGTGTCTTGTTCGAGTTAAGTTCAATGCCTTTGCAAGATTTAATATGTACATACTGTCTATAGCAGCACAACTTTTAAATGACATAGTACAAAGGAATCAAAATTCAAATCAACCCTTCAATGACTCTCACACTACCAAACAAATTTCAGACTTAACTTGACATCCAAATACTCCCACAGCTGCTGTCTTCCTGTCTGTCCTCACTGCTTTCTTCTCCTCACGCTAATCTCCAGAGAGCATTGTGTTTCTTTGAATGCATCACTTCCATGCTTTTGCATTTGTAAACACATTGCTCTTTACTGTGTTCAGAAATCCTACCCAACTCACATATACTTTTGAAAATTCAACACAAGTTATTCCTTCTTGAAGTCTTTTCTGATCTCTTCCATTTCCAAGACAAGCAACTATTCACCATCTACCTATAAGGTTTATGGCAGTTACCTTCCTAATGCTGTGACCCTTCGATACAGTTCATGTTGTGGTGATACCACAACCATAAAATTCTTTAGTTGCTACTTCATAACTGTAATTTTGCTGCTAGTATGAACTGTAATGTAAATATCTAATATGCAGGATATCAGATATGTGATCCCTGTGGTGGTCACAACTCACAGGTTGAGAAATACTACTTTATGGCATTCTACTGGTTTGTTGCCTTCTCCTATAAGATAATAATCTCTTTGCTATCTAGGACTGGGCTTAGACATCTTTATGTCTTCATTTAATGTAGTAATCTAATGAAACTTCACATAGTTTTAAAATGTAGCTAAAAATTTATTTCTGAAATAAGTTTCTTACTATAAAAAGGCCACAATCATTTCCTCTAAATAGTCAAAGGGCTTTGACTGAAACATTACCTGTAACTCTAAATTCATTAAGAGAATGTATCTAATCTGTGTTTATTTCAAAATACTAACTGGAACCCATTATGTAGTATAGGCTGGCCTTGAACTCACAATCCTCTTGCTTCCATCTCTTGAGTACAGGGATTATAGTGTGCACCAACAGGCCAGGCTTAAGGGTATGTCTCTTCAACTGTTTTCTAGGCCAAGAATTATGGAGTCCTTATTGTGTGCCAGGTCTTAATATTATAGTTAGTATTAAAAAATGTTCTATTTTAGCCGGGCAGTGGTGGGGGCCTTTAATCCCAACACTTGGAAGGCAGAGGCAGTAGATCTCTGTGAGTTCAAGACCAGCCTGGTCTATAGATCGAGTTTCAGGACAGGCTCCAATGCTACACAGAGAACCCTGTCTCTACAAACCATAAAAAGTTCTATTTTATCTTCATTTTATGGTAAGAAAAATTATAGCTGAGAGAGAAGTAAAAATATTAGATCCAAACTCATATCCAACTGATTCCAAAGCTTGACTTATTTGTAATTGTAACATCTCTTAACTTACAAATTATGTTGTTTAAGATGACCTCAAACTGCTGATCCTCCTGCCTCCACTTTCCTGACTTAGGTTTGGGGAATGCAGACATATACCCACATACTTGGCTTTATTCAGTGCTAAGGATATAGTCTAGGGTGTTCTGTACTCTAGGCAAGCACTTTACCAACTAAACTATAACAGCACTCTTATTATTTCATATGTATTTTTACCTTCTAATTTTAACTTAATTTTTTTGTTTTGTTTTTCAAGACAGGGTTCCTCTGTGTAGCCTTGCTCATCCTGAAACTCGATCTGTAGACCAGGCTGGCATCAAGCTCAGAGATCCACCTGCCTCTGTCTCTTGAGTACTGGGATTAAAGGTGTATGCCACCACCACCTGGTAATTTAATTTTTATATTTTAAGACTAATGTAGCCTGGTCCCAAAATTGGCTGTGTAGAAAAAAATGGCATTTAACTTATGATCCTTCTGTCTTTGCCTCCTAAGTGCTGGGATTACAGGCCTGTCCCAACATGCTCGCTCCATGTTTTAATTTTAAAAGAAGGTCTTGCTGTTTAGTCTATGTTAGCCTCAAACTTGGGATGTCATGCCTTGGCCTGCTAAGTGCTAGGACTACAAGCATTCATCACGACTTACATGGTTAATAGGCTAACAACCAGGCTATAAGAAGTGAAGCCATTCTGTACCATTCTGTCTTTGTTTTATTTCTACCCTCTCTATTCAATGGGCCATATATCCCACATACTGTGTATATCTGCTTCTTTTCATCCCCATAGCTATACTATTCCATTCTTAGTCCCATATTTTATGAAGTATGAAAAATTCCTGTATTTAATCTCCAGACTCCTTTAATCTATCTTTTGGAATATGTAATTTTTCTAAAATGTGTCTGATTACATTTTTTCTACTTTATGGATCAGTACTACTTAGAGAAAACTTTAAACTCTTAAAACATAGCACACATGGGACTTTATTACCTAACATTTTGTCCAACTCACTAGACCCATTTGCTACTTTCTTCTACCATATGGCAATCACCTATATAAAACCTCTCTCAGTCATACCCATGATAATTCAATTGGGCAATCAAGGCAAAGAATTCAACAAACATCTGGCACATAGTAATTTTTAAAAAACAGCAATTCACTATGTTCTTCTAAGGTCTGTGTGTATGGAAATACAAAAGACTAAAAACGCTTTACCACACTGTTGACCAGAGACCTAAAAAATTGCTGTTCATCAGTTAAAATCTAACTCAAGAGATTCTTCTCTGATGTTTGCTCTGACCTACTCTAAAAGTATTTTTTTTTTTTTTGTTTTTGTTTCCTCAGACATAGTCTTTTGATGCAGCCCAGGATACTCTCAAGCCAACATGCCTGTCAAGCAGTAATCTTAGTTTTTGTTTTCTAAGTTCTAGGCTCAGAACAGAACATTAGGTAGCCCAAGGTGGCCTCAAGCCCATGTACGATCCTCATCAAGCAGTTTTTTTTTTTTTAATTAAAATTAGAAAGGAAGTGGAGGCATGATGAGACAAAGTCATATAGACAAAGCTGGCCTAGAACATACTATGTAGCTCAGGATGGCCTCAAACTTCTTATCCTCTTGTTTTAGCCTCCAGGTGTTGAGATAATAAGCACATACCATCATCATGGCTTCAAGAAAATGGCCTCCAGGTGTTGAGATAATAAGCACATACCATCATCATGGCTTCAAGAGTAAACTAAATTTTAAAGCAATTTATTTATATTATGTTTTAATTATTTGTGTTCGTGTGCACACATGTGAACATACCTGCACAAGAGTGCAGGCAACAGATCCATCTAAAGTTACAGTAACATGGGTTTGTGAGCCACCTGATATGGGACCAAATTAGGGTTTTTTCTAAGAGAGGTATGTACTTTAACTACTGAGCCATCCCTCCAGTCCCCAAATTAATTGGTTTTTAAAAATGGTTCATTAAGACAAAAATTACACATATGTATGATGTGTAATGCACTCACATGGTCTTAACTGACCCTCTTTTTTCACATCACTATATGACAGGTTTTTACCTTTATTCTTGCAGTCATTATCTTTTGATGCAAGTCTTTGTTCTTGTTTAACTTCCCTAGTAGAATGAGTTCCCTCATGGATACCAACTGCTTCCTAGTCACTTTTGTGTTTCTAGTTTCTGACACAAATTTCCAATTAATATTTTCTTAATCCAAGTTTAACAATGAAAACAGTCACAGTAGGACCAATGTGGAAAACTTTACTTCTTGTTTTTAACATATAAGAGGAAGTAAGTTCATCCTTGAGAAAAGCAATTTTTCCCATCACTACTAACTAAATATTTACTTTTCAGCCTTTTCTTCATCTTAAAAAAACACATTAAAAATTATTTGGGGAACTGAAAAGATGGCTCATTGGTTAAGAGCACTTGCTGTTTTTACAGAGGCCCCAGATTCAGTTCCTAGCACCTACATGGTGGCTCACAACCATCTGAAACTCTAGGGGATCTATTATCTTCTTACCTCGTCAGGCATCAGTCACACAGATGGTGCACATACATACAGACAAAACACTCAAACACACACACACACACACACACACACACACACACACACACACAATAAAGAAATCTAAAAACAAACTTTTAAAAGCTGTTTTTCAATTAAAAGTAATTTTTGAAAAGGAAACAAAGGTGCAAGGCTAAAAATATGACATTCCAATTGCATAAAAATATTTCAGTTTGAATAGTTTCATGCAAAGACTGGAAACTGTTTCAATTTCCTATACCTTACTGGAGATAAAGTATGACTTACCATGGTTACTATTAAACTGAATAGAACTAGGGTAAAAAGCAGATGGTAGTTTATTGAGCTCTTTGTCTTGAAACATTCAAACCTTTAAGATAAGAGAGAAAGAAATTTACTTTATAATGTATAACCAGGAACAAACTGAATGCTGCTTACAACTTGCTCACATGCTTGTGTGATCCAGCAATACTCACTATTTCAACCCTCCCACCATCCATGTTAGAAACACTGAACTGTATACAGATTACAAGAGGCTAAGAGGATCAGCAGTAGCCACATAACTTCAGCTGAGACAATGAAGTTCTCTCTTCTCCAAGTATGAATTGGGAAGACAGCTAAACCAACTAAGTAAGGGTACTCAAAATATGGTATCAGATAGTCTAAGGCTGAAAAATCTGGAGGCAGCCAAAGTGAATAAACAAGTGAATGAAAAGACTTGAAGCCATGTGGAGAGAAAGGAATGGAGAAAAGACAAAGGCACAAACATATGACTTTCCAGTTCTAGTGAGGCAAGGTTATATTCCCTTCTATTTGGTTTCAGTTTCCTCATGTCCTTAGAAAAAGGAAGTTTCTTTAACTCTAGTAGCTTTGTGTATTTGTGTATCTTACAAATAATGATCTCTCTCTGAATGAAACTACTGAGATCACTGTACTGCTAGGCATGGGTAGTTCATGCTTTTTATTTAGCATTCAGGAGGCTGGGACTGGAGGACAGCCCTGGGCTACAGAGTGAGATTAAGCTGAAGAAGAGAAGGAGGAGGAGAAAAAGGCTTCTATCATAATTATTTTTTCTTATGTGTCTCCCCAACTAGATTGTGAAGTTTTTATATACAATGATACAATCTTATTAGTTTTTTTCAGACAATTACTAGGTTTGTGCCCAATGAACAGGAGATAGTATGGGGGCAGGGTTGGCCATCAGTAAGCACCCAATCTTTGAGGAATATGCATTAGAATAGACAGCAGTGCCTTCTCAATTAACTAACTGCTTATAGAAACTGAACTACACGCTTATCTCCTCTGTAAACTAAGGAAACTGGAATAGAAGGTTTCTATGCTCTCTTTCACCTTTAAATTCTATGGTTTTATGACTCTGAAGATGATACAAATATGAGGCAGGATCTTTTAAATTATATGACTATAATTGGATGGAAGAGTTAGGTAGTGTATTTATGAATTACACTTCCTTTTTGCTTTGTCTACAGCTGAGAAACTTATTTCAAATTTTCTTAAAGGATATTGTTAAGCATCACATAGAAGCTCACAACTATCTACAATTCAGTTCCAGGGTCACAATGCTTTCTGTCCTCTATAGGCACACACATGGTACACAGTCATACATACAGGCAAACTACCCATATGCACAAATGTTACCACAACTTTATTTTATTTTATACCTACTTTTTTCTTTCATATCGAAAATTTATTAGATGGTTCCCACTCATCTTGAATCGGAATGCTTTCAGAACTACTTCCTCCAAAAGGAGTATCCATCCCTCTGTAAGTTGTGTTTTCCCCCCTGTAGGCTGACATAGGACAGTGGAGCAGCAAACACAAAGACTAACTAACTAAAGACTTGCTTTAGTTAGTTAGTGCATAACTAAAGATTATAGTAATTTTATAGCATCCCAGGCATTTCATATCTGTGACACAGGGATTTAGGCTCTGCACTCAATTGGGGCTCTGCAGTTTTTCTTGTGTTTCAACTTTGCCCCTTCTGGAGAGGGATGACAGAGATCCTTTATAAGAGGCATGTTCTAATAGGGAAGTCACGTTACCACCAGAAAGGCTATATTGCTACTTTCTTAATCTGGCTCTGTCCATAGAGGGTTAGTACCTTGACTCTTTGCTTTCTACTTCCATGCCTACTATAAAGCTTTTCCAGCACATGCTTCACAGAAGAAAGCAAACAAAGGCAAGCAGGTTTAGAAATAGTTGGAGGTCTAAACTGCTTTGCATACTTGATATGGTCAAAGAACATCCTAAAACTAATTCAAAACAAACAGACAAACAAACAAAAAGCCCAATCAGGGTTAAAGATTCTGACACTTGAAGTTTTCTATCATGGGCTATTTCCAGGAATATTTTGGTGTCCCTCAGAGATTATTAACCTGTATAATGTGTGTCTGGAATGTTTATTAATGAAGCTCTGCTCACACCCTTGATCAAGTTGCTAAATTTCTCTGTGCATTACTTTCTTGTGTATAAAACTAGTTCAGTACCTACTGTCTTCATTAGGTGAAATGAGACAGTACAGGGGTAGGCACAAAGCCCCATCTATAGCTGAGGAACCACTGGCATTTGATAACTGCAAGGAAAGAGACAGTCTGGTTCTTTAATGGTGTGACCACTGATATTTCAATTACAATCAAGAGAAAGCCCCACACCCAAGAGTAGCTGACCAACACAAACTGGACTTGATAATAACAGAACATAACATTGGGTGGTTAGGGAGATAGGAATAGATCTGGGAAGAGTTCAGGGAAAATGATCAAAATACATTGAAATTCTCAAACAATAACTATGAGAGTACTTCACTTTTCAGGTAAGTTTTTTTTTTTTTTTTTTTTTTTTTAACTTTACATACCAATCCCAGCTTCCCCTCCATCTTCTCCTCCCCCCACTTCCCCTCCACCTCCACTCCCCATCTACTCCTCAGAGAGGGTAAGGCCTCCCATGTGGAGTCAACAAAGTCTGTCCTATCACAATGTTAAGGCAGGACCAAGCCCTTCCCCTCCCCTCATGTCTAGACTAAGCAAGGTATCTCTCCATAGGAAATGGGCTCCAAAAAGCCATTTCATACATTAGGAATAGATCCTGGTCCCACTGCCCCAGTGGCCCTACAAATTGCCCAAGCCATCCACTGTCACCTGTATTCAGGGCAGTCCTATGCAGGTTCCCTAACTGTCAGTCTGGAGTCAGTGAGCTCCAACTAGTTCATATCAGATATTTCTGTGGGTTTCCCTATCACGATCTTGACCCTTTGCTCATATTATTGCTCTTCCCTCTCTTCGACTGGACTCCAGGAGCTTGGCCCAGTGGTTAGTTGTGGATCTCTTCATCTGCTTCCATCAGTTACTGGATGATGGGTCTATGCTGATAATTATGGTAGTCCTCAATCTGATTACAGGGGAGTTCAGGCACCCTCTCTACTATTGCTGGTGAGTTTATCCTTGTGTATTCCTGGGAATTTCCCTAGTGCCAGGTTTCTCAATAATCCCATAATGCCTCCCTCTATCAAGATATTTCTTTCTTGCCCTCCCTCTCCTTCCCCCAACTTGACTATCCCATTCCCTTAAGTTCTCTTCACACCCCTTCTCTCCTCCTCTCTGCCCTTGTACCCTCCCACATTCCCAATTTACTCATGAGCTCTTGTCTATTTCCCCTTCCTAGACCAATCCATGTATGTCTCTCTTAGGGTCCACTTTGTTACCTAGCATCTCTGGGGTCATGCACTATAGGCTGGTTATCCTTTGCTTTATGTCTAATATCCACTTATGAGTGAGTACATACCATATTTGTCTTTCTGGGTCTGGGTTACCTCTCTCAGTATGCATTTTTTCTATTTCTATTTGCCTGAGACTTTCAAGATTTCATTGTTTTTTTTTCCCCACTGATTACTACTCCATTGTATAAATGTATCACATTTTCTTTAACCATTCTTCAGTTGAGGGGCATCTAGGTTGTTTCCAAGTTTTGGCTATTATGAATAATGCTGCTGTGAATATAACTGAGCAAATGTCCTTGTGGTATGAGTGTGCATACTTTGAGTATATGCCCAAAAGTGGTATCACAGGGTCTTGAAGTAGGTTGATTCCCAATTTTCTGAGAAACCACTATACTGATTTCCAAATGGCTGTACAAGTTTGCACTCCCACCAGCAATCCACATCCTTTCCAGCATAAGCTATCATTGGTATTTTTGATCTTTGCCGTTCTGATTGGTATAAGAAGGTATCTCAGAGATTGGTATAAGAAGGTATTTCAGAGTTGCTTTGATTTGCATTTCTCTGATGGCTAAGGATGTTGAGCAATTCCTTAAATGTCTTTCAGCCATTTGAGTTTCTTATGTTGAGAATTCTCTGGATAGATCTATGCTCCATTTTTTAATTAGATCATTTGGTATTTTGGTGTCTAGTTTCTCGATTTCTTCGTATATTTGGAGATCAACCCTTTGTCAGATGTGGGGTTGGTGAAGATCTTTTCCCTTTCTTTAGGCTGCTGTTTTGACTTGTTGACTGTGTTCTTTGCCTTACAGGAACTTCTCAGTTTCAATAGGTCCCATTTATTAATTGCTCTCAGTGTCTGTGCTACTGGTGTTTTATTTAGGAAGTGGTCTCCTGTGGCAATGCATTCAAGGCTACTTCCTACTTTCACTTCTATGAAGTTCAATGTGGTTGGATTTATGTTGAGTTCTTTGTTCAATTTGACTTGAGTTTTATGCATGATGATAGATATGGGTCTATTTGCAGTCTTCTACATGTCGATCTCCATTTATGCCAGCACCATTTGTAGAAGATGCTTTCTTTTTCCATTGTATAATTTTAGCTTCATTGTCAAAAATCAGGTGTTCATAGATGTGTGGATTAATATCACTCTCTTTTATTTGATTCCATTGGTCTACCTTTCTGTTCTATGCCAATACCTAGCTGTTTTCATTACTGTAGCTCTATAATAGAGCTTTTTCAGGTATGCTTTTATTAAGAAACAGTTCATGGACTAATGAGATGGTTCAGCAAGGAAAAGCAATTATAGTTCAAGCCTGAAGACCTATGTTCAATCTCAGTATACCAGTATGGAAGGGGAGAACCCACTTCTGAAAATTGTCTTCTGACCCTAACATGTACACTGTGGTACATGCACAAACACACAAGCACACACACTAATAAACAATAACAAAAGAAACTTGTGCTGTCTCAGCAGTTAAAAGTACTTGCTACTCTTGCAGAAAACTTGGATTCAGTTCCTAGCATGTACATGGCGGCTCACACCCTCTATAACTCTAGTTCCAGAGGATCCAATTACCGCTCCCCTCCCCCCCCCCCACCCCCCACCCCCATCTGTATTTTTCATTCAAGGTATGCACATGGTACACAAACATACATGCAGGCAAAATGCTCACACATATAAAATAAAAATAAATAATATTTTTAAAAAGCAGTAACTAAAAAAGAAACCATTCATACTATAGTATAGAGAAACTACCCCAAAACTTTCATGGCACAATTTGGATACATTCTTCACTTAAGAAAAGGCAAAATGTGTATTAAAGTCAAATTAAGATACTATCTAAACTGGCATTAGGGTTTTGAGATTCCTGTAGCTTCCCATAAAACTAAATTCTGCAGTAACGTCACAATATTTTTATCTTTTACACAACATATCCTAGTAATGTAATTGGATCAAAAACCACATTGAATTGAATTTAAAATGTAAGTACTCACATGCAGTACACAAATATGCAGCAGCTGTAAATCATGGGGAGCTCATCCAATAGCTACATGAAGCAGAGAGACAAAGATGTGAATATAGTACAGTTATAACTATGGAAGTCAAAAATAAAATTTCAGAATGATTATGATTGTCATCTCTTAAGCTAGGGATGTACCTCGGTAGAATGTATTGCTTAGCATGCACAGGCCCTGGGTTCAATTCCTAGTTGCTTTCCCCCAAAATTACTAATTCTTATTTAGTTTCTTTTACTAATTATTTAATATATCCATCACCATCTAACTTACTTGTATAGTTTGTTGTATGGTTATCTATCCATCCCTTCTAAGACAGACATCTAGGTAGTATGTCTGACTGACTTTTCCCAGAGAGCAGCCTTATAATCAGAGTCCAGGCCAAGGAAATCGAAAGTAATTGTAAATGTGAAGATTTGAGAAATATTTGGGAAGTAAAATAGAAATTTGTTATTAATTTTATAGAAAGGTAAGGAGAAAGAAACCATAAAGGATATATCAAGTTTCTTGCCTAACAATTCAAGATATAGTAGTGCAGTCTAATGAGATTATGAAAACAGAGAAAATGACAAGAACAATTTTCAGCATTCTAAGTTTCAAGTACCTGACATAGATAGGTAGAAATGTCTATCAAGTAATAGACATTTAAAATAATAAAATAAAGTAATAAACATTTAAAATAATAATAAAATGAGAAGTACAAATCTGTAGCTTAGGAGAAAGATATGGACTCCAGATTGTTTGTGGCTTATTCAAAAGGACTACATTTACAAAAATATGAATATGTATTCATTTGTACACATGTGCATGTGTGCATGCACATGGAGGCAAAAGGTCAACCTTTAGATGTTTTTCCTCAGTCACTCCCCATCTTGTTTTTTGAAACCAGTCTCTCACTGATCTGGAGCTTGTCAATTAGGATAAACTGGCTAGCCATAGAGCACTAAGAATCTGAAAAGATGACAATGGAGCATTTAGAGAAAAATTTAAAAAATCAGTTTGATCAACAACAACAACAACAACAACAAGCACTAAGAATCTGCCTGTCTCTGCCTAGATGACAAACATATGCTACTACCACTCTTGACACTTTTATGTGGATTCTGAGGATCAAACTCAGGTTCTCATGTTTGCACGGCAAGTACCTTACTGACTGAAATATCATACCAACTCTGATTTGTTTTATTTATTTAATTTAGTTATTTAGCAGAGAGAGGGATATTGTTGGGCATGCATGTACCCTGCACATGTGTGGAGTTAGAGGACAATGATTGGATGTTGGTTCTCTCCTTCCACCATGTGGATCATGAAGATCAAACCCAGGTAGTTGGACTTGGCAGCAAGCACCTTTCCCTTTTTCTTTTTCTTTTTCTTTCTTTCTTTCTCTTTCTCTCTCTCTCTCTCTCTCTCTCTCTCTTTCCCCCACCCAGACAGGGTTTCTCTGTGGCTTTGGAGGTTGTCCTGGAACTCGCTCTTGTAGACCAGGCTGGTCTCGAACTCACTGAGATCCTCCTGCCTCTGTCTCCCTAGTGCCTGGCCCTTGTCTTACTATCTTACTAGTCTTCATTTTATTGCTTTTTTTTGGGGGGGTGTTTTTTAAAAAAGATTTATTTTATTTGTGTAAGTGTTTTGTCTTCATGTACTTATGTGCAACCGTGTGTGCGTTTGGAAAGGGTTGTTGGATCCCCTGGAACTGGAGTTACAGATGGCTGTGAGCTGTCATGTGAATGCTGGAAACCAAACCTGGGTCCTCTGTAGTTGGCATACATCATAATCAATTTTGAATTTCAGGATAGCCAGGGCTACACAAAGAAACCCTGTCTCATTAGTGGTGATAAGCCAGTTCAAATGACTATATATATAACCTCTTAGCAGCAAAGACAGAAACAAAACAGAGTCCATCCCATTCAAATGGATACCACTGACACAGGAAACACTGCAGGCACCTAAGAATATGATTTTGTGAACTGCTTACAACTAGGACACCCCCATGTAACAGTCTTCTTTAATGCTATTTTAAAATTATGTATGTCTGCATAGAGTTGGCACACATACACAGAAAGCCATACTACTTCTTTATATGGTCAGTTTGAGTCCTTTTACCTGAAGTGATGACAAGTCCCCCCCCTTTTATTATCCTTTAGTTATGTGTTCTTTTCTCAAATTGGAAGTGTCTCTAAATTGAGAGAAATAATCACTTACTTTTGCCATTACTCACCTGCATTTCATATTTCAGAGTCATGTGGAAACACCAGGATCCCATTCCTACCACTGAAATTAAGACAGACAAATGAAAGGATTAGCAAGAAATTCTTTGGGGGCCAAAGTGACTTCAGAAGGCACTAAGACGTTTCAAAGTATTAAGTTTTGAGGAAAACAAAGTTTATAAGGCCTTATAACAAGGTACAGATGATGCTGAGTTAGTGCTGTGATTGAGGATTTTGGCATAGAAGAAAACAAGCACAGTATAATTTTTCTAAAATTCTCCCTAAGTAGATTACTAGGTAACACAACTGTATTATTTCTATAAAGTACTGGATGCTCAGGATAAGCTTTAATGTGCATAGTTGGTCAGCTTCCTTTCACACTGTCTTATACTCCTCTGATCTATAAAACCTAGCAATACAATTTAGAGAGCCACAACATCATATATACAAAACTACTGTACAGACACCTAAATGCAGTTCTTTTGAGAACTTTCTTGAGAAAGTGTACTGTCATCTGTCTCTATGTGTGACTACTTAATAAACTAACTTTGCTTCTTTCTGACTCATTCTGTAATTGTTTCTGTGGCATATAATCAAGAATCCAAGAGAACATCTCAGACCCTGGTGGCAGTTTGGGGCTGTCTCTGCCACAACAAATAGTTCTGTGTATTGAGGTTTTATGCTATGACAAGTGTGCTGACCACTATATATGCTCTAGGTCCTTTCATCTTTACAGAACCATTATCAGTTACCATCTGGCCTTCGTGTAATTCACTGACAACAAAGGTTTACACATGGTATACAGCTATTAAGTAATAAGGAAGAGATTCTAACTCAGCTTCCTTTGTAAAATATCTTATATACAACTTATATATCTAGGAAAGAATTACAGAGATATGTACAGAAAAGGGATAGAAGACATTTTCAATTTTCTGGCCCCAAAGTGGGCTTTATAAGCATGGCTAATAAAATTTTGTAGCTAGGTAGGACTTTTATAATAAATAATTGTATCAACAGTTCATACATTCATGCTAATTGAAAGGAGAAAAAAAGAAATAGCATCTTCCCCCTTTTGGTAGTACTGGGGATTAATGCTGGGGCTATGATCATGCTAGGCATAGCTCTACCACTGAGCATCCCAAGCCAAAAGAAACTGTAAATTGAGACAGAGTCTAAGTTGTACAAATTGATCTCACACTCACTATGTATGCAAGCCTCCCAAGTGGCTAGATTACATGTGCACCATTACACCTGGCCAGGTGTGTGGTTCAATTTGTCCATCTTTCCTTACATCTGGATTTAAATCACAGAAAGTCTTTCAAAAATGCTGGACACAAATTCACACACACTTTTTCTTTCAGCATTTGTAATATTTTGGTTTTTATATTTATACTTCTGATCAGTTTAGAATTTATTTTTGTGTATGATATAAGGTATATAGTCATTTCTCTAGCATCAATTATGAAAATATTTTATCTTTGCCCCAATGACTGAAGACAACATTTTATCAATATTTGGTAAGAGATATATAAGAGATATATAAGAGATATCTATATCTATATCTATATCTATCTATCTATATATATATATATATCTCATATAAGAGATATATAAGAGATATCTATATCTATATCTATATCTATATCTATCTATCTATCTATCTATATATATATCTTACCAAATATTGATAAAATATGCCTGCCTGCCCAGGAATTTGTGTATTTCTATTTTATCTCATTTGTTGACATATAACTATTCATAATAGTTCCTTATGGCTGGGAGATAGTGGCACATGCCTTTAATCCCAGTACTTGGGAGTCAGAGGCAGGCAGATCTCTGAGATCGAGGCCAACCTGGTCTATGGATGGAGTTTCAGGACAGCAAGAGTTACACAGTGAAACCCTGCCTCAAAAAACAACAAAGAAACAAACAAAAAAAGTTTCTTATGATTCTTTATATCACTGCATCAGTTATAATTCATCATCTTCATTTCACTGATCATATATATTTGTCTTTATTTCTTTTATTTCTGTTCTGTTCTTTATTATTTCCTTCCTTCTATTACTTTTAGGGTCTACTGTTTTTTTATTTCTTGAGATGCAATGTTAGGGTTACTTAACACTCTTCTTGATATAAAAATCCTTTTTTTTTTTTTTTTTTTTTTTTTTTTTTTTGAGACAGGGTTTCTCTGTGGCTTTGGGGGCTGTCCTGGAACTAGCTCTTGTAGACCAGGCTGGCCTCAAACTCACAGAAATCCTCCTGCCTCTGCCTCCCCAGTGTTGGGACTAAAGGTATGCACCACCACTGCCCAGCGAAACATCCTTTTTTGAATTGCTTTTGCTATTACCCACAGGTTTTCATATGTTGTATTTCCATTTTTTCATTAATTCACTATTTATTCAGGAGCATATACCTTAGTTTCTCTATATCTGTAGAGTTTCCAACATGTTTCCTTTTATTTATTTGTAGTTTTACCCCATTCTGATCAGAAAAATACTTAAAATCATTTCAATCTTAAATTGTTAAGACTTAAACTTGTTTTGTGAACCAAAATGTGATATCCTAGAGAATGTTCCATGTAATGTTGTATGTAAGTATTCTGTAGCTTCTGGGTATATGTTCCATAAATGTATTTCAGGTTTATTTGGTCTATAGTATAATTTAGATCTGCTAGGGTTTTTTGTTGAGTTTTGCCAGGATAAACTGCCAATTGCTAAAAGTAGGATGTTGAAGCCTCCTTCTATTATTGCATTACAGTCTGTTTGGTGTGTGTGTGTTTATTTATTTATGATTGTTGAATTGACCTTTTTATTATTATAATAAATGACCATATTTTAGTAATGACCATATTTGTCTTTTTTTTCAATTTTTGCACTCAGTATTTTAGTTGACATCAGTATAGCTAATCCTTTCAGTATACATTTCTATAGAATATCTCAGCTAGAGGCAATACATAATTTCTTTTGTTTTTTAATCATCAAGTATTCTATGCTTTTTAATTGGAGAGGTTAATCTATTTACATCCTAGGTAATTAGTGCTAAGTAAGGACTTGTTACTATTTTATAAATCTTTTAATTGTTTTGTATATACTTTTTTCTTCTAGTACTCTTTCTTTGTGGTAGTGACTTTTTTCTAGTATAGTCTAACTACATGTTTTTTACCTTTGAGTGTATTAATTAAGGTTTTTGCTTTTTTGTTGTTGTTGTTGTTGAGGGTTGGGCGTTTTATTCAATTAATAATGATTAGAACTACTAATATGAATGAGGGCATTAAGGTGAGGATGGGGAAAAGATGCAAAAGAAATCTTAAGAGTTCTTTTCCTGGAGTAACTGGCTGTCTCTATGAGCAAAGAACAGCAAGCATTTGATGTAGCTCATTAAATGCTTAATGGGAGAATATAAAATTGAACAGTAAAGACTCCCGGCAAGGTTTTTGCTTTATGGCTACTAAGAAACTACCAAGAATGTCTTATAATAGGTTATGCTAAGCAGATTAAAACTCAAGTTTGATCACATAGAATGAAGCAAAAAAAATCTTTATTTTATTTTATTTTTTTGTTGTTGTTTTTTGTTTTTGGAGACAAGGTTTCTATGTAGTGCTCTCTGTCCTGGAACTCACTTGGAAGATCAGGCTGGCCTCAGACTTGGAGATCCTCCTGCCTCTGCCATCCAAGTGCTAGGATTAAAGGGGATCACCACCACTTCCCAGTTAAAAATCTTCATATTTTAACTTTTCCCTTCCTACATTTTAAATTACTGATGTCACAATTTATATTTTATTGTTCATATAATTATTACAGTTATCTAAGCTGGCCTCAAATTGCTATGTAGTAAAGGTGATCTTGTAATTTTGATCCTCCTGTCTGCTAAGATTACAGGCATAAGTCTTTACATCTGCTTTATGCAGTGTCTGGGACCAAAGCCAAAGCTTGGAGCATTCTAGGCAAGTATTCTACAAACTGAGTTATATCTCCATCCCTATAATGTCTTATCTTTTACTCTTCTATTCTTTCATGAACTCAAATCACTCATATAAATGCTGTTTTGATAATACTCTACAAATCCCTTAAACTCTTTATTTTTATTTTTAAAATTTCTCTTTATTATTTTTCTCTCCTGACTATATTTATTTAAATAACCTTTCTCGTGCTTGATTCACTGTTGGTGCTCTCTACTGTAGTTTTTCATTACATTCATTATATTTTTCAGCTCCATAATTTCTGGGTTTTTTTTGTTGTTGTTGCTGTTGTTGTTGTTTTCTTTTTTCTTTCTTTTGTTTTTTCTGTTTGATTTTTAAAATGGTATTTCCATCTTTTCTTTAAACTTCTCCAGTAGATTTCTGAATTGTTTTTTACTAAAGTTAAAGCTTCCTTTAAAAAATTGTTTAAGAGGGCTGGAGAGATGGCTCATCGGCTAAGAGCACTGACTACTCTTCCAGAGGTCCTGAGTTCAATTCCCAGCAACCACATGGTGGCTCACAACCACCTTGAATGAGATCTGGTGTCTTCTGCTGGCATGCAGCCCTCTGCTGGCATCAGAAGACTATATACATAATAAATTAAAAAAAATTGTTTAAGATATATTTATGTGTATAAGTGTTCTTCCTGCATGTATGTCTGTGTACCACATACATGCCCAGTATCTGCAAAGGTCAGAAGAGGGTATCAGATTCCCTGAAACTGGGATAATTGTGAGCTACATGTAGGTGCTGGGAACTAAAGCCAGGTGCTATGCAAGAGCAACAAGTGTTCTATGACACTGAATCTCTCTCTAGACTCTGAGTTAAACTTCCTTAAACTAACTATATTGAAATTTTTTGATAGATTCCATTTTTCTGGGGTTAATCACTGACAACCTATTCTGTCTGTTTGGTGAGGTCATATTTCACTGCTTGTTTTTATGCTTTTAGACATGAAATGTTGTCTTCTCATTGAAGAATTAGGTGTTATTTCAGTCTCTGCCAGTATGGCTTTCTTTGTGCCATTCTTCTTCACTTAATCTGTTCAGAAATTCTATGCAGGCAGATTTGCATTTCCTAAGTCTGTGACCACTGCAAACATTTCGGTACTAAGGGGTGCTTTTAGACTGGAATGAGTTTTATTTTATTTTATTTTTTTTAGTTTTTTATTTTTCATATATTTGAATTACAAACAAGATTGAATTACATGACGATCCCAGTTCCCTTCTCCCTCCCTTCCTCCTCTAGCACCCCCCCAACTAAAATCCTACCTATCATATGTCCTTTCTTCTAATATACACCTGACTCAAAATTTCTGCTTCCTCATGACCTCTGCATCTAAGGGCTCCAAAGTTGATATGGGAAGCCTAGCTACATAGAGCAGCAGAAGACGAAGGGAGGTTACTCAGAATGTATTGAGAAAACTTCAGGGGAACTCAAGAAATTTGTGGTAGATCAAGTATGCATGACTCTGATGCCTCCCCACAGATGTGACAGTTCTCTGACTGCAGCAACAAGAGCTGAAGCTGACACTGGATCTTCTTAAGCTCTGTTGTGACACAGTAATGGGTGAACCTATGCTGGTGGCCCAGGCATGCATGCATCTCCCAGCAGTTTCACACAGAGTTTGGACAGTTTCCAACTACAATAGATCAGAGTTTGAGCCAAGCAAAGGGTAAATTTCAGATCCACTGTCAAGACCAATGTCAGAAGGCAGATAAATCTCTCAGCCACTCCTCTATTCCTTCTGAACACTTTGGCATATGAAACAGAGCTATATTCAAGCCCTTAGCATAGGGCTTGAAAACAGGAACACAACTGGGTGTGGGTGTGTACTCTCAAAACAATCCTTTTAGGTCTTAGGCTCCACTATAGTTGTTCAACTTCTTTTTTTTAATTTATTTTTTTATGTGCATTGTTGTTTTGCCTACATTTTTGTCTGATCTTGGAGTTACAAACAGTTGTGAGCTGCCATGTGGGTGCTCGGAGTTGAACTCGGGTCCTCTGGAAGATCAGTCAGTGCTCTTAACTGCTGAGCCATCTCTCCAGCCCAGTTGTTCAACTTCTTATGGAATCCTGAGGCTTTCATAGAGACTCCTCTGTGAACAGGTATGTGAAACCTCTTATTATACTTATGGACATTATCTTTCATATGTTACAGCTTTTTGTGTTTATTTATTCATTTGAGACTGTTTATTTAACTAAGGAAAATTATATTATAGCACACCATTGTTTTCAAATGAAGTATTCTACATACCCGTGAGTGCTAAATAAGCAGCAATGTACCGTTTTTCCAGTCTATCTCTAATGCTCTGAATTGCACCAAAAATTGGAGGTACGATCATAATCAGGTTACTCACTGTATTCCCTACAGGAGAAAAACAGAAGATATTTAGATTGACCAGAAACACTTAAGAACACACTGATTTGCTCTTTAGCAACAGTTAAATAAGGAACTCCTTGGAAGACCGTGATAAGATACTGTCAAGGTACTACAAAAAAAGTCTTTACTCAATAAAAATTTCTCAAAATGACCAAATAAAACAAAAATACTTCCTGAAAAATGAAACTAAGAATGTTTTAGAGTATACCCACTTAAGACAAATTTTAAATTCTAAAAGCAAGCAAGGAAAGGATCCCAGAAAAACCTCAGAGATAAAACAGTAAGTTAGCTGAAGATGGAGTCTATACTCAAAGTGTGGTTCTCTGTAAGTAAAAGACAATATAAATACTGATATTATAACATAATAATATAAATAATAAATAAATAACTGGGTTATTATTTTGGCTGTGGAATTGAAAAGCAATGAACTGAAAGTCTACATTTTATGGGTTTTGTAATATTTCATTTTTCTTGTAGTGTTCTTAGTTTTAAGACATGAGACGAGATTTTTAAAATTCATTTTTTCTGTAATGCAGTGGATTTTTTGTTTGTTTGTTTTTGAGACAGGGTTTTTCTGTGTAACAGTCCAGGCTGTCTTGAAACTCACTTTTGTAGACCAGGCTGACCTAGAACTCACTGAGATCCATTTGCCTCTGCCTCCCAAGTGCTGGGATTAAAGGTGTGCAACACCACTGCCTAGCTTGCAGTGGATCTTATATGACTTTTGTTCTCATCTTTACAAAAACAAAGTTCCAAGGAACAGCAAAAAAGCAGAGGTGTGTCACTAAATCTGACGACCTGATTTTAATTCCTGGGGTCCATATATATGGTGGAAGAATCAATTCCTTCATATTGTTTTCTGAATTCCACATGTGTTCTGGGATGCATATGTATATGCACACATGTAAAAAATAAAACATGATAAAAATAAAAACAAAATTCAAACAGGAATAGCAAAAGAATAAAACCATGTTGCAGAAGTTGTTAGTAAAACAAGGAAAGAAATTATTAAACAATGCAAATTTTTTCCTTTTTTTATTAGAAGGAAAATTATTTTACATGTCAATCCCAGGTCCCTCTCCCTCCCCTCCTCCCTTGCCCCCCCAACTAACGCCTTACCTATCCCATACCCTTTCTCCTCCCCAGGGAGGGTGAGGCCTTCCATAGGGTGGTCTTCAAAGTCTGTCATATTCTTTGGGACATGGCCCACTCCAACCCCCTGGTTTCTAGGCTCAGGGAGTATCCCTCCATGTGGGATGGGCCCCTAAAGTCTATTCCTATGGTAGCAATAAGTACCGATCCACTACAAGAGGGCTTATAGATTTCCAAGGTCTCCTCACTGACACCCACATTCAGGGGGTCTGGATCAGTCCCATGCTGGTTTCCCAGCTATCAGTCTAGTTGATTTTAAAAATATTATTACAGGCAGAGATGAGTAACATATTTACAATGTTTCAAGTGAATGATTTTCAATACAGTTACTAATATCAAGATAAATTATCAATTAATTGAAAAAGTAGAATGGAGATATTTTCTCAAACAATCAAGGATTGGAAAAGTATATTTGCAACACATCTTTTCTCTGGAATCAACTAGATAATATAATGAGCCAAAATAAGGACATTACTTATGAGAAAAGATGAGGTAAAAATCTAAAAAACAGGGGCTACAACACAGGAAAGTAAAGGATCAAGAGGACTGCTGTCTAAAATATCAGTGATGACACGGCTGAAAATAAAGCAGGAAAGTAAAAAACTGCAGGAAATTTACAAGGAAAAATAGGTAATTTAATGAGTCAAAATATTGGTAGGATATTTGATAGAAGTATTAGAAAATCTGTACTGTTTAGTCAACCTGGTCTCAACCAACCCAGGCATCTGTTGCTGAATATTAGGCTAATTCAATTATACGTAATACTGTAAGGATTAACCATATATATCTGTGAGTTCTGTATGAGTGGTTTCAACCCACCACATATTGGAAATATTTTTAAAATGTGTACTAAACACAGACTTTTTCTCGTCATTATTCCCTCAACAATATAGTAACTACTTATACAATATTTACAATATGTGTTATTATAAATAATCAAGGGATCATGATTCATATTGAAGGATGTGTACAGACTATATGAGAATATTAGGCCATTTTATGTAAGAGATGAGCATCTGCAGATGTTGATATTCACTGGTGTTCAGAAGAAGGCATCAAATCCCCTGGGACTAGAGAGGTACAGGTGGTTGTGAGGCACCATGTGGGTGCTGGATCTTGTGTAAGAGCAACAAGTTCTCTTAACTTCTGAGACAACTCTCCAGACATATGTTTTTAAAAAGCTGATGTAGGAGCTGAGGATTTAGCTCAGTGGTAGAGGGCTTGCCTACGAAGTATAACACCCTTGTTCAGTCCTCAGCTCCAAGGGTGGGGTGGGAGCAATGGAACAAAAGAAAATAAAAAAAGTTGATTTTAAAAATAGGCATAGAGTCAGGCGGTGGTGGCCCACGCCTTTATTCCCAGCACTCAGGAGGCAGAGGCAGGTGGATCTCTGTGAGTTTGAGACCAGCCTGGTCTACAAGAGCTAGTTTCAGGACAGCCTCCAAAGCCACAGAGAAACCCTGTCTCAAAAAACAAAACAAAACAAAACAGACATAAAATTGTCCCTTATAAGACATTATATAAATGATAGCCAATTTAAGTTTACTAGACAAAATAATATACATGATTGCAGACTTAATTTTTTTAAATTAAAAACTGCTATTAATCAGGTTCTAACCAGAATTAGTAAGCCATAGAGAAATTTGAGCAAGAAAAGTTTACAATAAAAAATTGCTGAAGGAAGTTAGATATACTTCAGTTGGCAGAATTCTTTCCTATCATTCATGAGGCACTAAATGCTAAGAATTGATTTCCAGTATCACACTAACCAGGTGGTTCATACCTATAATTCCAGCACTCAGGAGCATGAAGACCAGAGGTTTAAGGTCATACTCAGATACTCCTGGAATCCAGTTGCAGAGAGGGAGGAGTGATGAGCAAAGGAGTCAAGACTAGGCTAGAGACACCCACAGCAACAGCTGACCTGAACAAGGGGGAGCTCAAGGAATCCAAACTGATAGCTGGGGAACCAGCATAGTACTGTTCCAGACCCCCTGAACATGGGTCAAGAGGCCTGGTCAATCTATGGGGCCTCTGGCAGTGGAACAGTATTTATCCCTAGGATACGAATGGACTTTGAGAGCCCATTCCACATAGAGGGATACTTTCTCAGCCTAGACATATGGGGGAGGACCTAAGCCCTGTTTCAAATGATAGGACAGATTTTAAAGATCCCCCATGGGAGGCCTCACCCTCCCTGGGGAGCAGAAAGGGGATGGGAGAGAGGGTTGGTTGGGGGGGGGGGCAGAGGAGGAAGGGAGGGAGAGGGAACTGGGATTGACGTGTAAAACAAGCTTGTTTCTAATTTAAATTTTTTTTAAGGGTAAAAAAGGTTATACTCAGCTACACTGTGAATTGAAGGGCAGCTTGGGCTGTATGAGACTTGGTTTCAAAAATAAAAAAAATATTGGAGCCAGGTCACCTGGCTAAATATACCTGTAATCCCAATACTTAGAAGACAGAAGTAGAAGGCTCTCAAGTTCAAGATCATATTATTAATTAAAGGAAGGAAATAGAGTGGCTAGTTGGTAAGAAGTAAAGAGAACTCTGCAGAATAAAAAAAAAATAGTGGGTGCAAGGAGAGTAGACCTACTCTCCCTACTCACTGTGGTAGAGCAGTAAAGAGGATCCCTCAGGGCTGAAATGCTGAACAACAGCCATGGTTCATTGAACAGTAGAGAAGCTGTTATGTGACATGCTACCAAACTTGCTGAAATCCACCCATTAAAACCTGCCAGAAGGTTGGGGGATACAGCTCCATTGATAGAGGGTTTGTCTAGCATGCACAAAGCCCTGGGCACAGTTCCCAGCACTGCATAAACTCAGTGTGGTGGTATATGTCTATAATCCTAGCACTCAGGAGGTAGGAGAAACATCAGAAATTGAAGGTCGCCGGATGTTGGTGGCGTACGCCTTTAATCCCAGCACTTGGGAGGCAGAGGCAGGTGGATCTCTGTGAGTTCGAGGCCAGCCTGGTCTACACAGTGAGTTCCAGAACTGTGTCTAAAGCTATAGAGAAATCCTGTCTCAACCCCCCCCCCCCCAAAAGAAAGAAAGAAAGAAAGAAAGAAAGAAAGAAAGAAAGAAAGAAAAGAAATTTAAGGTCATCTTCCACTGCATAGAGAATTTGAGACCAGCCTGGGATACATGAGCCCGTTTCACAAACACACACTCACATATGCTTGCACCACACACATACACAACCCTCACCAGTCGGAAAACTGTCTTGTAAGGTGCCAGCAAAAGCGGACAACCCTGCAGGTGTGGGAAGAAATTATTGGTGCTTTGGACTAACTTCAGGGCCTAGGTACTAGAGAAGCTTCCTGAACTTGTGGGAGCTATATGGTACTAATTTCACCTGGACTTTAAGAACCGGCACCCAAGAATCTGCCTGGCTAATACACCAACACCAAGAAGGAAAAGCCCTTCCTCCTGGGATGTATCTCTAGTGCCATCTACTGACGAAGTTTAACTCCTGCTAGTTGTCAAAGGAACAGTTAAAGATAGTACAGAATAAATATTGAATTTGGAGCAAAAAACCGGCAATAAATTGATTCTAGCAGTTAAACTTCTTTTCATCAATTGTGCCTGAACCAAACTATGGCTGGCAAGGGTGCCCTAATAACCATATAAAAATGTGAGTTTGAGGTGAAATAGTTTTTCCTTTTCTTCTCCATATATCTTAATGTGCCTGTAGAGTTTTGTAATTTGACGTACTAAAAAGATGGATGAGCCGGGCGGTGGTGGCACACGCCTTTAGTCCCAGCACTCGGGAGGCAGAAGCAGGCGGATCTCTGTGAGTTCGAGGCCACACTGGTCTACAAGAGCTAGTT